TGATACATGTATAAAAAACATTTTTATCTATTTTATTGTATTTGTGTATGCATTACATTTTATGTGTATTAAAAATTTAGCATGTCTATCAAGCTTTTGTTAGGCAAGCAGCTTCATCCAACAGGAGAAATACTTGGAAAATATTTTAACTTGTATGTAGGCATAAATGACAGCAATAAAGCGTTTGTCCATTTAAATCCAGGGTTGTAAATGAAAAAAATTATTATTTTTTTATTTATTGCCTTTTTTTTTTTTTTTACCTTAGAATGTGTCCTGTTTCAATTTATTTTATTCATAAGCAAAAATGCATTTATTGTTTGCTGCTTTTCACTGTGATTTACAGAAGACACACATTATCTGTCATTCAGTGTAAATATAAAATCTATAATATAACAAGAATCATTTGATAGAATCACACACATCACAGCACCAAAATCCTAATAAATTATCATTTTTAATGTTTGCAATTGGCCACTTTGATCCTTCAAAACACCTTTTTTATCTATTTGTCTGCAAATAAATCTGTAATGCTGAATGATGAACATTATTTCAGCCATCTAAACTTCACAATAGTAGTGGACATTTGCATTTAATATGTGCTCTGTTTTTAAAATTATTAGATGAAAACAGCACAATAGGACATCTGCTCTTTGACCTGTAGATTTTATATTGGATACTGTAACCATGCCTCTGTTTTTCTGCAGAGGTTTGCGGTCAGCCGGATCATCAGTTCACCAGATGGACAACATGTCGCTGTTCAGTGTGAGGGGTGCGTTTCATTTCATCACATTTTTCTGTTGATCATCCTCCTAATTTTATTCAGCTAGACTTCTTTGTTAAAACAGAATCAAACAGGTCTTGAAGGAACACGCCACTGTTTTGGGAAATTTTACACCTCTCCTAAAGTTAAATAATCATTGATTTTTATTTTTTTATATCCATTCAGCCAATCTCTGGCTGTGACAGGAGCACTTTTAGTTTAGCTTAGCATAAATCATTGAACCAGATTGAGCCATTAGCAATAGTAGCCTATAGATCCTAGTCATTTTGACCTAGAAAACAATCTAATTTTAATTATTCGTCTGTACATGATGTAACTGCAGAAGAGTCCAGCTTTAAATAGGAACATTATCAAAACTTTTTGTTTTAATAAGCAAGATGCTAATGGTCTTATCCAATCCAAAGATTTATGCTAAGCTAAGCTAAAAGTGCTCCTGCCAGACACGGAGATCGGCTGAATGGATTCAAAATATTTAAAAAAAATAGTGTAGTGTTCCTTTAAGAAAGATTACGCATCTGCAGGAGTAACATCATCTGCATGTGTTTAGATTCCCCTCAGTTCAGCTGTTCACAGTGGATTGTGGGACAGAGAGCCTCCTGAAACCTGCAGACACGCTGACTCTTCCTCTCTCGCCATGGGACGTGACCTTTGACTCAGAAAACCAGCTGTGGGTTTTGCTGGAGAGTGAAGACATGAAGGTGCTCCTGTATCGACACTCTGAGCAGCACTGGAGGGTAAACTCATGCTCCGCTTTCCATGCTCATTGGTCATTGGTTCACTCAGATCGCCCCCCAGTGTTGAATCGCTGAACAGGTTTCGTAGTTTACTTCATCTCAGAACAGGTTTTACTAGTTTATAGATGTTTTAATGAGACATTTGTTAAAATGAAACAAAATAATAATTGTTAAAAGTCTTGTTGGCTTATTTAGCAGAGTCAACCATGGAACAAATGATACATAGACCTTGAAAATTATTAAAAGAACGCATATTATACTAACACTAATGATATTAGAAAAGCTTTCAGCATTTATAGGTTGTACTTTCAATTAAAAGTTTGCAATATGTGTGAAAAAAGTAAAGTCTAGTGTTAACCTGAGTTTTTGTTGCATTTACATGGTTTTGACCATCATAAAAGACCACCAAATTCATTTTCATTGCTACGCAGATAACACCTAGCTCTACCCATTAACAAACCCAACCACTCCCACTCCCACCTTCATCCCTTACTAACTGCTTTGCAGACATCAAATCCTGGTTCACCTCAAATTTCCTGAAATTAAATGACAATAAAACTGAGCTTTACTTATTGGTACATGATCCACTTTAAATAAATCACATAGCTTTTCCATTGCCACAGATCATTCTGTCATTTACCCCCTCCCTTCAGGTTAAGAGTCTGGGGGTCATCTTCGACAGCACCCTTTCATTCACTGCACATTTTAATAATGTCACCCGGTCACTTATTTCCAATTTCGAAATATAAATCGTTTACATCCTTCCCTCACAACTCATTCAGCTGCCATTCTTGTTCATAGTTTAGTCTCATCTTGTTTAGATTACTGTAATTCCCTTATCACAAAAACCCCCTCTGTCTGTCACATCACACCCATTCTACAACAGTTTCACTGGCTTCCTATCTTCAGGATATATCTCTTATCTTTCAGAATTATAAAATACTTCTCATTTTTAAAGCCATCCAAAATCTTGCACCTCCATACCTTGCTAACCTTGTTCATATCACCACACCTTCACGAACACTCAGGTCTTCTTCTTCCATTCACCTCACTGTTCCCTCTGTCCGCCTTGTCACCATGGGGAGCAGATCTTTCAGCCACTCTGCTCCTCAGCTTTGGAATTCACTTCCTCCTGATCTCCGTAATTTACACTCTTTCACAATTTAAATCCAATCTTAAAACACATCTGTTAAGAACAGCTTATTCACTTTAACTCAACTTCATTTTTAAAGTTTGTATGGTTTTGTTTTTGCTATTGCTATTTTTTTTATTGTGTTTTTATGTGAACTGATTGTTCTAGCTGTCCTGTACTGTGACCTTGAGTGTCATGAAGGGGGCCTTTAAATAAAATGCATTATTATTATTATTATTATTATTATTATTACCATGAGAGGATAAAAGATTGTTAACAGATGATTCTTATTGGTTGTGTTTACAGCTGTGTGACTCTGAGAGCCCTGAACTGAAGAAGGTCACTAATGCATTACAGACTCAATGGCATCTCTTTAAAGGTAAGAAATGCAGATAATTGGAGAGGGGTCTGGATGCAGACCTGGTGCAGTGCAATCTGAGCTGCATCCAATGCTTTTTAATGGGCTCACCTAAACCCTACCCCTTACGGTGATGTCACTTACTGTAAAATACATTTTACTGGACTGTCCTGCTTTTAATGATTCCAGAAGACTTTTTTAATGAAATGAACTCTCTTAAGGGCATTTTTAACAAAGTGACACCAGGAAAATGTGTTTTAGAATTCTTATCATGTATTAACACTAAAAATCTTGTTTAACTTGTGTGTTCATTTGTTTGTTGTTCTTAATTGTTTTTTATTATTGAAATGTTCTTGCCATGAAAATAGCCTTGGTTGCTGACATGGCAATAAATAAAAGAATTACATTACATTACAGTGATGTCTCTCACTCCATTTGAGTGCATTGTGTCTGACATTGCATCACTGAGTGCCAACATTGCATCATAAAGGCTGAATCCAGATACTATTGGATAATTCAGTGATAATTGAATGGTGAGCCCATACACAGAACCTAAAAAGCCTAAAACGTGTTGTCATATTTGATCAATTTTAACATCGGATGATCGGGTAAACTTAAATGCATAGTTCATCCAAAAATCGAAATGGTCATCGTTTACATGTCCTCCACTTTTATCAAAGCAGTTTTAGTTTTTCTTTTATTTAACATAAAAGATATACTGAAGAATGTTAGAAAACTACTTCCTACTATGGATGTCTGTGGCTTGTTCCCCAACATTCTTCAAAATATGTTGAACAGAAAAAAAGACATTCATAAAACTTTAAAACCACTTTAGTGTGAGGAAATAAAAAGTACATTAGATTTGTTTTTTTGGTGAATTATACCTAAAGTTGCTTACTAATCTATTAAGTGTTAAGCTTGATATATTAACAATTTAAAATATTGTGTGTTTCTAAAAATGGGACAAGTTAATGCAAACTTAATAATAATAATAAATTCTAACATGTATTTAGCACTTTTCTGGGCACTTAACTGGAACATTTATAAATAATTAAGACATTTTGCTGAATAAACAGCTTTAATTGTCTGCCAGGTGTCAGTGGACATTGAATTCAACAGGTTTCTTATCAAATTTGTTTATTTGAGATGTTGAGTGTAAGCTTTTATAAGATCAATGCCCAACTCTGATACACTTTGTTTTTTTTTTTAAACCTTTGTAAGAACACTTAATGTTATTTATCAATAATAAAAATATTAATAAATGTTTTCTTTACAGGTTCTGTGGGACTGGAAAGTCAGTTTAAACATCTTTATAAAGTGAACTTTGACAATATGGCTTCATACTTACAAAAGAAACAGGAAAGACTAGACCTGGAGAATAAGAAGAGAGCAGCAGCAGCAAATGGCTCAAAACCCAACAAAAAAAGTAAAACCGAGAGCGGCCCTGTGCCACAAAGCACCAGCTGAGAGGAAGTCTGCTTTTTAATTTGACATGTTTCTATAATACTAATGTTGTTTTTTGTTAATTGACTGATTTTATTTTGTTGTTCAGTAAAGACATCCAGACATGGTGGTTTCCGTTTCCTGAACATTAAGTTGTAATGTTGTCTTTTAACCGCTAGAGTCCGCTAGTCACGCTCTGAATGTGAGCAGTTAGTCAACATCAAAACATCAAAATAGACGTGGTATGTTATTAATAAATATAACTATTTTTGTAGGATTTTGTGCGCTCTTGTAATCAAAAACATGACCTTCTCTTGTGACTTGTTTACCATTATGGAGGCTGAAAACTGTCAATCACATGAGATCAAGCAACAACAAATTTTGACATCCTGCATAAATTAAATATTTTCATGTTCTAGAAGATCTTGCTCGAATCATTGAGAGCAAAAGATGATTTGGGTGCTTTTAACAGCATCAGTCAGTAAACTATGCGGTTCAACTCTTCCAGAGACAGGAATAATCATTAAACTGTATAATGTGCTTGGAGAGATCTGGGGTTTCAGTTTTTCATAAAGTTAGACTTTATTGTTTTCTGAATAAAAGTGACTAAAAATCTGTACATCCTGTATAATGTTTATACTTTTACAAAACCAAATAAAAACAACACAAATGGTTCATAGCTGAGCTGTACATGGTTCAACAATTCCCTGAATGATGCTTTGGAGAGACACTCATTTCCCACTTACTCTGATGGCGAATCCAGCTGAAACAGAAAAACAACAGGTATATTATGCAGAGAAGATCACATAAATAACCAATTATAGTTAATATATAGTTCACCCAAAATGTTTATTTTGTAGAACACAAAAGAAGATTTTTAGAAAAATGTTGACAACTGGTAGCCATTGATATATATATATATATATATATATATATATATATATATATATATATATATATATATATATATATTTAAATTTCTAAATTTTTTTAATTTCCAAAATCAGGGTTGGAATATCAAGGAATTTAAAAGGTCTGTTCGAGACCATGAAAGTCAGGAAGCTTTACAATTTATTTGTCTAATTCATGGAATAAAAGGGATTTTTGATAGTTGGTTAAAATTATAGATACCATTTATAAAAATGTAACTTGTCTATTCATTATTTATCGCATTGTTTCACCTCTGTTATATATGGCATTTTATTCCTTTCACACTTAATAACTAGTCACCCAAGTCAAATTAATTGATGAGACTGTATCTGTTATTAATATATACAGAAAAATATCCATTTTAGTAGGTTTGGATTCAAAATGACCACTTCAAAGACTGGCTGTAAAAAAGATGACAGAAACACAATGTAATAATTGTAAAACTACAATCGAGATGTGGAAGAGCGAGCACTTCCTAGCCATGTAAACAGTAAGTACAGTAAGTAAATCTGAGGTAAATAATAATGGCTATGCAACCAAGTCCTGCACAATGATATTCAACCTAAATCCATTTTAATATTGAAATTTTTATTTAAAAGCACAGAGGCCTATTTTTTCCATTCAGCTTTTTAGTCAGGGGATTTGATATGTCTTCGAGTGGCAACCCTGCGGTGCTCTTCAAAATATCTTCTCTTGTGTTCCATAGAGAAAAATAAACTCTGGAACCAATCCGCTTGTTAAGTGGTGACGTGTTGGTGTTGTATGTAATACTGTTTCCGAGTCCAAGCCGCCATTCATTTCAGTTGAGAAACCATTAGTTTATGATCACTTTTTAGTCATATCACTCATTAAAGTTAATTTTACATAAAGTCATAGTGTACACAACATTCTCTGGGCTTGCTGCATAACAAATACCAAAATTCAACAATTTATAAAAAAAATTAATCACTTTCTGGCCGTTGGATATTAGGCATGGACATAAATATTGAGATCGTGATTTTTGAAAGTATTAAATGGCTTTGTAAACATTTAATTATTACTATTTCATGAATCTCCCCATTCAGTTAAATAAATCGCTTGGTCCCGGAAGCCGCTCCGCGTGACGTCACACTTAACAAGTGGATTGAGGGTGAGTAAATTTAATTGTTAAACTTCAAATTAGCAAGTTTTACCATGTTTTGGCACTGACCTTACTCATTTCTTTTTTCCTCCCATTGTTACATTTTCTGTTTTCTTTTTCTGCATCTATAAAAAAACAAGACGTGCATACAAAACATGTAAATACAGAGTACCCGCGGAGTCTTAAAAGCATTGAAAAGATCTTAAATTTAATCATCTCAAATTAAGGCCTTAAAAGCCTTGAATTTGGTATATAAAGTCTTGGATTTTGTTACAAAGGTATTATTTTATTCATTTATTTTTGTCTTTCTTAGAATTAAGTTACAGCAACAACATTAACTGTTATTAATGTAGGCTAATTAAAAATTCATGCAGAGTAACGTTGAGTGCACCTCGTGCCCCACATCAAAGCAGAAAAATGTGCGCACCCGTTACTATGGTTACTAGGCAAGTTAGGTACAGAACAAGATAGTCGCAAAGAGCATAAGCTGCGTCCCAAATCGCATATTTATGCACTATTCTACGCCATTTTGTAGTATAAACAGTGTACGTTCACACTAAAAACTAATAAGTGCACTTTAATTACCCGGATGATGCACTCATTTAGCTGGTAAAATGAAGTGTGGAATGATGGATAATTCACGCACTCAACGACCGCAGGTTTGCCTACATAGCGGAAGGGGCGGAGCTATCGGACGCACATGTTGGATAATTTTATTTTGGATGGTGAAAGCAAAATTCTCCTACCAGAGTGATTATAGCGCCTCCCGATGGTGAATGCGGTTATACTAACGGCAGGTATTATTTGTTAATTCAGTCGTTTATTTCACTGATTTGGCAACCGTCAAACGTAATTAGGGAAACGGTTTGAATTTTCGCTTCGTAAAAAAACATAAGTGTGCCATTTGGGACGACACTACATACATATACTATCCTGTAGAGTGTGTAAGTGCATAAGTACATAGTGCATGAGTGCGTAGTGTATAGTGTGCCATTTGGGACACAGCAATAGAATCACCAAGAGGTGACACTAGTGCAATTTAGGAAACCGCGGCGGCCATTTTGAAAAACTCCAATAGAACAACAGCATATGATAAGTCTATAAAATAAACTATTAAAAGTGCTGTATTGTCGTCTTCTAGGTTGTATCTCAGCTTTAATGCGCTTTTTAAATTAAAAAAAAAAAAAAAACTAAGCAGGCGAGGCAGTGGCGCAGTAGGCAGTGCTGTCACCTCACAGCAAGAAGGTTGCTGGGTCGCTGATTCGAACCTTGGCTCAGTTGGCGTTTCTGTGTGGAGTTTGCATGTTCTCCCTGCCTTCGCGTAGGTTTCCTCCGGGTTCTCCGGTTTCCCCCACAGTCCAAAGACATGTGGTACAGGTGAATTGGGTTGGCTAAATTGTCCGTAGTGGATGAGTGTGTGTGTGGATGTTTCCCAGAGATGGGTTGCGGCTGGAAGGGCATCCGCTTGATAAGTTGGCGGTTCATTCTGCTGTGGCAACCCCGGATTTAAAAAAGGAACTAAGCCGACGAGAAAATGAATGAAAAAATTAATGAAAATTGCCGGTTTAATCCGCTGTGGCCAAGGAATCCGAATTATGTTTGGGTCAAGCCTGTGCCAGGAAATGATCCCGACGCCTACTGCTGTTGGTCCCAGAAAAATTTCAAGCTAGCGACGATAGGTGTTATGGCCCTGGACTCCCATATGAGGGGTGCCCAACACACCGTGTGTAGTACTGCTCGTTAGCGCCAACCACCTACAGTGCAGTTCTATGCTATCAGTAATGAATACATTTCTACATTAGAAGCATTGCCACCACAGCCAAGGAACATCCCATCTTACTGTGGCTTAATACCAACTCTGCGGGCAGAGGTGGTGTTGGTACTAAAAACAAACTCTGAGCACCACTCTTACACATCGAATGAGAACATTACAAAGGTTTTCAAAACCATGTTTCCTTACTCCGAGGTTGCAGCTTTATTCTTGTGTAGAAGCATCAAAACTGCATATATTATTAAATTCGGATTAGCTCCATTTATAACTGAAGATCTGACTGACCAGGCCAATGAGGCCAGTGGATTTGTGTTCAAGTTTGATGAGAGTCTCAATAGCATGACGAAAACTAAGCAGTTGGACCTTCACATTCATTCGCTACTGGGTGGACGACTTGACAGTTGCATATGTATTAAATATAACTGATGATTAAAATAAAATATTTTATTTAATTCAAGTAGTCCACTTGTACATAATTATTTTCTAGGGTTCAAAATGTATACAGATTTGACATTTTCCCCTCATATTTAGGTACGAAGTTGGCATTGAATTACATTTGAAAAGGTATTAAAAAGACTTGAATTCTATTTGGAGGATCCCGGGGGTACCCTGAAATAGCCAGTGAGTTACAAAGAAAGCAAACTGTTACAAAAAGCTGTCTGCTGACCTCGTTCATGGCATCGTCTATCTGTTTGAGCTCCTCGTATTTGTCCCGGGACTCTCGCAAAGGCTGCACCATTACCTCCTCAATCTGAGGAAACAACTGGAACACAGAGAACAAACAGCTTGGCCTGCTGGGCTTGACCCAAACCAGTGTTTGATTTCTCCCTGAAGGACTCATGTTTTGTGCGTTCAGGTCTGACCTTCATCACTGTCTCGAACATGGGGATCAGGACAAACTTGATGAAGCCGATCTGAGCCGTGGGTTTGGTCACTTTCTCTCGGTCCATGAAAGGAGCCACAGGTAAACCTTCTGCCTTTTCTCTGTCACTCTGGTGGACAGGAAACACAACTCTGATAAATGCATTGGTCTATACAGAAATAATAGAATAACTATTACAGGTATTCATCCTGTATAATACCATTCTACCCAGCCATCATCTGATTAAGTAGGCCAATTTTAAGACAGCCAGACCCCTCTCGAAATCTGCAGAAAATCTGCGGGTGCAGATTCGGGATTGGCCTACTAATACCAAACAAACAATAAATATAAATCAAGGATGTCCAAACTCAGTTCTGAATAGCTGGTGTCCTGGGGTCCGTTCTTCGTACCTCGCTTAAATGATCTAAGATTATTTAGCAGATCCTGGATCTTTTCATCTTGATAACTGATCTCTCGCTAATTTGGTTCTTCAAACAAGTTCGCGAATCAGATTAGAATGTCTTGATAATCTGATCTGCGATCGCTACGTGTGTTGTGAAGGACAGATCTATCGATCCTCGAAATCATGATCAGCAATGCAATGATTGGCTGACGGCACAGCAGCGTAATGACATCAAATTAGCAGTAAACGGTTTGTTAAATATGACACACAATAACCTTCCACATTTGTTGTGGGCTGCAGGCTTTACACTGTCATGTGTCAAGTGTATTCATCATGTATTTCAATGCAAATCAATGTATTTAGTTCCACATTTAGAAAAGATTTTCTTTATTATAGTAGCCGTTTTTTAATCTGTGTAAAGAATAACTGGTTGTTTACAAAAGCATTTTCATATTGGTAAAGGCGTCTGCAACTTTTGTGAAGCATTAAATCACTGGCATATTAACTATCAAAACATGTTTATGACTGCATAAATGTATTATTGCTTTTAAAAAAAGTCACATATTGTGAATTTCTATTATACACAATTTGTACTAAAGCGGTCTAAAAAGTTCATATCAATAAGTTTTCTCTTTGCACCACCAGGTGGCAGTCTTTGTACTTTCATGTCAAGGGTGCAAATTGCATACGTTTTATGAATATGTATAACTTAATTTATTTTATTTATGACTATAACTTTATATATATAGTTAAAAATATATGTACCATTTTCCCAAGTGTATATAACTACTACTGTAAGAAAATATTTGAATTTGGTACATACTTTCTGTATTATCTTTGCTTGAACTGAGCCGATCTAATCCTGTTTATATGATTTGAACCTGCTCCCGATCAGGTTTGACCTAGCAGAACTGTTGCTATGACAACAACTCTCGGATCAGCTTTGAAGAACGAAACGATCCTGGATCGTGCCAAATCGTCAATATCCAAATCCAGCTAACGGAGTAATCTACGTAGGAAGAACGGACCACTGCTGAGGTTAGTGCCATTTTGAGTTTAGCTTGCTTAAACACACCTAGGGAGGTTTCTAGTATATCTAGTAAGAGCTTGATTAGCAGGTTCAGGTGTGTTTGATTAGGGTTGGAGCTAAACTCTCCTGCACATCGGCCCTCCAGGACTGAGTTTGGACAACCCTGCTTTAAATGATTGCTCCTACAGTAATACTATATATACAGTAGAAAGGAAAGTGGTTTTTGTTTTTACACCTTAACATGTACTTATGTTTGATTGCAGTAATTCATCCACCTGCATGAAGTACTCCTCCAGGAGACAGTCGACCCAGGGCTCTGCCACTTCCATGGGCCGAACCTCATTAGATATGTCGCAACACTTGATCAGCACCATCTTCAGCTGCCACAGATACAGAGACACCGGGTGATTCTAGAACTGCAGGTACATTTCACATCTCCAAGGTAAACCTACTAGATTAATTTTTTTTTATAAAAAACATTTTAATAATGCTAAATTATATCAAGTTATCTAACAATATTATAGTTGTATGTGTACTGTAAAAAATCTTACTTCCTTAGTCACTTTTTTACTTTTCAATTCTTCTCCCCCACTTTCTCTCCTCAACTTTGCTTTCACGTTCGGCTGGTTTTAGGGGTAGGTATTTCACTCATGTTTGACAATGTTTGCTCAGGGTATAAGAAGGAAACATAACTGTTGATCGGGGGGAATAGCTTTTACTCTGCGTCTCCCGCACGCCGGTGCATAGTCTTATATGGTAACGAAGGCAGTTTTACTGTCTTTGTTGCTCAGCAGTGAACATGCTACAGCTAAGTTTCTCTATACATTACAGTATGTTAGTTTGTTTAATTCTACTGTCTGTATATTTAACAAAGTAACTTAATAAATAACTTTGCCTGCTTTAAGGCATTAAGACTCATTCTCTTTATCAATGGTGATAACAACTTTAATGGAGTCAAATTAATCACAATGCAGTCATATAAATAATGGATTTAAACTCACCAACCTTCAACTGCTTTCTGTTCTCGATTATTGGTTCAGAATCCATACACATCAATTAAACTGACTAAAAATATTATGTTAAACTTTGCATAACTTAAAAAATTATGAAAGTTGAACCCCGATTAACTTATTAAAATAAGTTAAAGAAACATAAAAATATGTGTTGTCTTGACTTTTTGTTATTTGATCTTTTACAGTGTGTATTTAGGGAGAATTTTGTCTTTATATTAACAGACTCCCACTATACTTATTTTTGACTGTCACTGACTCTTCAATCACACATTCAGCTTCAATTATCATAAAAAATAAATGAATTTAAGTGTAATCTTTTTGTGTGTATTTGTGTTCACTTGTAGTAATTTGCATTGTGTTTTGGTCAATATGTTCTGGTCAACTCTGTTTCATCCATTATAAAAAAGACTAAAACACTGACAGAAATGTATCATGTGAAATAGCATCACTCTAAGAAATGTGACTTCCTCTGATGAGAAACTCTGGAAGGCATTGCGACGCGTCTTTTTTTTTTTTCTTCCCTCATTAATTTGTTCAAAATACGCCTAATGACTAACAGTAAATTAATTATGTCAACTAATTTGTCAATTATTTCAGTAAACTTCATATTCACTTTTTACAATCAATGATATGATGATGAAAGAACTTCAAATTCAGTTTTAGACATGCTATGTGGTATCTGCTTTGATGTTAGCATCTTGAGCTAAAGCACAAAATGGTGGATAATGTCAGCTTTGTTACTGCCAACTCAGTTTAACATTAATTTAAACAAGAATTAGTAACAGAAACAAAGGTTCCTTATCACATTTAAGCATTTTGCATTATTTTAGTTTGATAATGTGTTTATTTTACGGTAAATTATACATTTGTTGTAGCCTGTATTATTCCAGTTTAAGCGAAATGAATGGGAAATGCTTGAACTGTATTCTGTAATTAGTCACACATTTAACATCACAGCATGGTAAAAACACTTTAAAGTAAATAATGGGGTTGTAATACGTTAAGAAGCTCACACAAGTAACATGCTCCTCATTATTGTAGTCAAAGCTGTCCACTTTCTGTTTGAAAGAGTCCATGATCTCTCCATGTCGGGCCATGTCTGTTGCCAGTATCAAGGTGATGGTTCCCTGGCAGAGAAGAAATAACAGAACCAGCAGTTATTCACCATTTAAGAGCTCCTACCAAACATTCATAAGGGTTTTAAATCTATCTAATATTCAAAAAAAGATTTATCATAGTGTCTGTTCATTCACGATCTGGAACTCCTACACTTCTAGAGTCTACTTTCCTCTGATTTGAAAATTGAACTTATTTGAATTTCAAAAAATAAAAATACTAGGAAAAGTTTTTATTACAACATTCTTCAGAGTATCTTTGTGTTCAACAGAAGAAAGACACAAACATGTTTGGAACAATGGAGGATGAGTAAATGGTTTCTGGAATTTGCATATTTTGTACTACAATGGCGACTTTGGGGCACACCTGACGAATCTGTTTGAAGGCTTCTGGATCGAAGCTGGCGAAGATGTTGCAGTCTGGCTGAGAGAAGATCTGGAAGGCCACAGCACAGTGATGGTTCTCCAGAGGAGAGATGTCATTGTACCTCACAGCCAGCTCTGTGCGCGCGTTTATCTGATAGCTGGACAGAGGAGGGACTGTGTATGATCTACAAACACTCAACAGCTGAAACCTAATGCAAATACAAAATGTATTTGCATTCGGTATCCAAGTGGCAGTGGATGACATGGATCACTGACTTGCTATAAATACACATAAGATAAATATGTTACATTGTCTACATGGTGTCTCAGTGGTTAGCACTTTTGCCTCAAAGCAAAAAGGTTGCAGGATCGAGTCCCGGCTGGGCCAGTTGGCATTTCTGTTTGCACTATTTGTGAATTGAATAAACTAAATTGGCCATAGTGTATGAGTGTGAGTGTATGGGTGTTTCCCAGTACTAGGGTGCAGATAGAAGAGCATCCACTGTATAAAACATGCTGGATAAGTTGGTGGTACATTCCAATGTGGCAACCTCTGAGGAATAAAGGGACTAAGCCAAAGGAAATTAAAATGTCAAAGAGTTCACACCAACATACCCCTCATAAAGTGGTTTTAAACCTTTGTAAAAGTTTCTTTTTTTTGTTGAATGCGATATTTTGAAGTATGTTGGCAATTTGTTACCTTTGACATCCATAAAAGAAAAAAACAAATTCTATTGAAGTCAATGGCTACCAGTTTCCAATATTGTTTCAAAATGGTTTCTTTTGTGTTCAACAGAAAAAAAAGGTTACGTAAATAATGACAGAATTTTCATTTTTGGGTGAACTGCACCTTTAAATATGAAAAAAATGTCCACTTGGGAATTGGTTGAGATTTATATTTAGACCGTTTTCTACATCAAATGACAATAGGTTAAAATAACAAAGATGTCTTGTTTTCCTTCATTTTAGACTTAGCCTAAATCTATTGAATACAGTGAAACAGAGTAGTCTTTTATTCATTCCTTAGATCTATATGGGAATTTATTAAAAGTGTGGAATTGGTACATTTATGTGTCTCATAAGCAAAATAAATTAATAATAATAAATACAGTGAAAGTACAGTGAATACATGAATGATATGAATATTATAAATATTATCAAACAGCTAGACACTAGATATATTTATTATAATTTAGTGGAATATTACAAAAATATCAAATATGCATTTTCTTATGAAAGGATAATGCATGTAATACACTAAATAAATCAAAGGAAGAAATCTTGTAGACCACAATTAGAATTAAAATACCTATATTTTAAAAATGTAAGATTCTCATCTGCTGAACTGCTATTATATAAATATTCTCACACAATCATGCAACTTGTCTGTTCATTTTAGTTCCAAAAAAACCATTTATTTAAAATAAAATTATTTTAAAAGTTTATGAATGTCTTTACCGCCACTTTAAAGGTATTCTTACAAAAAAAAGTGTAGATTTCCTGCACAAAAAAAGTCGCTTTGGTGCGTTTCTCACAACAGTAGTGCATTTCTGTACAACAGTTAATGCATTTCTCAAAACAATTAGTGCAAACTGCAAAACCTAGATGATAACCTGCAAAAGTGCATCAATTACTCAAAATGGATAGTTCATTCCTAAAAAGCAAGTATGCATGTCAATCAAAGTGTCAGTATCATCAAAATGAAAAGTCCTGACACCATTGTTTATGAACAAGATAGTCAAATGGCTTTGTCGTGTTTTCATTATGAGTTTACTCTGGACATTTTTTCAATGCAAAAAAGTCAGATGTTGGTGGCACTTCCTGAAAATGCTCAAGACAGCACTATAGACTATTTGCACAGCCAATTGAAAACTACTGTAAAGTTGGACATCACTGCATTTAGTGAGGTATTTGAGTACAAGACACTGAATATGTATGTTTCACATTTTTACTCTGCATTTGCTCTTTACAATCCTAATTTATTCACAGCATTGTGCAAAAGAATAAACACGCCCTTATTTACAACAAACATAAACTCCCTTTAGGTAGAGCTGTGCACAACTGTACACAATATTGCAGTACATATTGAACCTGAACCTGCAACATACACAGGTCTCATCATTCATCAAATTGTTCAATATTAAAGACATTTTTAGGAAAATAAAGTTTTTGGGGAGAAATGCCCCAAAGCGACTGAGAAAAACTGTAAATACAAATTGGAGTTGGGCTTGTGATCCAAAGATCGCACATTTGAGTCCCAGCACTGGTAGGGATTTTAGGTGAGAGGAGTGAACAACCAAATTCTCTCTTTGAGGTGAGACCATTGAGCCGGTTTGAGGTGTTTATGTGTGAGCTAGTCCCTTTGGATAAAAGCATCTGCAGAAAATGCATTAATTCAATTTTCCTTCAGCTTAGCCTCTGATTTGTCAGGTCACCACAGAACGACCAACTATTCAAGCATATTATGCTGGAGGACACCTACGCCAACATGAGGATAACATGCAAACTCCACACAGAAACGCCAACTGGCCCAGCAGGGACTCGATCCAGCGACCGCCTTGCTGTGAGGCGACAATGCTAACCACTAAGCCACTGTGCCACCCCTTCTGTTAGAAAATAAAAATGCTAAATGTAAAATATATGTGCAGTTGGTGGCTCTTACGTGTTGTTGTACCCAGGATGGTCCAGATCATGACACACCGCCGCGGTCATCAAAATCAAAATATCCACTTGCGTGAACTTTTCCTGAGAAACACACAAGCGCAGAAGTGTTAAAGAAGTTTAGAGGTAGGATTGAAGAAGAGGACACAATATACAGCCTCGACAGCAGGGGTGCTCAGATTTCATATTAAACACACCTGCCTGTCATTATCAAGTACTGTTCAGGTCCTAATAAATTGGTTCAGGTGTGTTTGATCAGGGTTGATGCTGAAGTCTGTAGGATGATAGATCTCCAGGAACAGGGTTGAGCACCCCTGCACTACAGTAAAAAATCATTACGTCAATGGGCGTCACGATTAAAGCTCCGATCACACTAGAGCTTGTGTGTGCGAAAAGGGGCAGGAATAAACAAGATTATTAGACATTAAAAAAGCGAGCGATTGCTCCATGTTTTACATTTCTGTCCAAAGAGGTCATGTTTTGATCCTCGGTAGGTCTCTCGCAGTCAAGTGATGTGATTTCACAGGTCAGAGTTCACCAAGCTTGAACTTTTTCGCAACCTGCGAAACTTGACGCATGACCCCGCGTTTCCGGTTTGACGCATTCGCGTGCGTATGAATGGGAGTCTATGGGAGGAAAAGCCCAGTGTGACCGCAGCTTAAGGAATGGAGAATCCATTAAGCCCACTAGAAAGCACTCCAACTCTCCATACATGTGCCAACGAAACTACGCTTGATACGGGTTATCTGAACTCTGATTAGACCCTTACCTGCAGGACATTTACAGAAACATTTACATTATATCATCTTTACCCTCTACTGGACGCATTATAATAGATCTATAAAAAACATATTAGACTGTTTTTCTTTTCTTAAAATGACTTGAAGTGCTGTAAAAAAAAAAATTGGAAAAAATTCTTTAAGGTACTTTATGATGTTTCTATATGGCAACAATGTCCAATTGTGGATCTAACTTAAAAAATTCTAATTTAGAAGTTTCCTAATAATCAACGATTGTGTTGTTTGAAATGATTTAATTGGTGTTGCAGTATTATTAGCTTTAACACAAAAACTTGTACATATTCCTAACAACTGATATTTCAACAGCTTTCATTTATTTCATTCTTTTTTTGCTGAATACTAGCATACTATTGTATTATCATGTATACAACATACAGTAAATATATTTTCTCTAGTAAATATTACACCAAATAAATAAGTAGTGTAATATATTCAGATGCATCAGAGTAATGTAGCTACTACCTAACAATGTGTATATATTATACTTTACTACGCTTGTTTATCTGCCACAGAGCTAACTTGAACTGTCTCCATCACTGCTCTTATCAAATATTCAATCTGCATCATTCTCATGGTCACTAAAACCAATCTCATCCTCACTTTCATCTACAGGAATAGCCAGTTCTGTCCTTTTCTTCTTTTACTTGCCATATAACGTGATGCTCGCTAATACACTGTTCCCTGTATTAATATCTACTCAAAAGTTGTATTGCCATTGAAACTAGATTTTATCTATAATGCAAATGCCATTAACACATGACTAATCAACATTATATTCCTAGCATTCATGTTGTTATTGTTACAACTTAAAAGTTCACGGCTGACCTTGCTAGCTAGCTAACCCATTGCAATATTGCACGTTCCACTATTGCACAGTTCTGCCGTTTGGCAACACATACATTTGATTGATTTACAAAAAACTAATATGATAAAAAATTTAGTTGTGAATATGTCGTCATAAGTTAATGGAGGTAATGTTTCAAGTTTTTTTATGGATCTGACATCATTTCATTTCCTGAAAGAGTCCAGTGACAGACAAAGTTTCCGCATTGATCCCGTGGGCCAGCCTGAACACCCATCGGTGATCTACTCAAACCTGCAGCTTCTCCACGATGGACGTTCAGTGTTCTCTAGCCTCCTGTGTCTAAACTGCAGCTCTGCACAAGAAGTTTGGCCAAAGGAGAAATGATCGTGCCCATTTCTCTCGAGGTTTTTTCCTTCACTTTTGAAGTTTGTTCCTCGCCAATGTCACCACTGGATTGCTTTGTTTTGGGACTTGTGGAGCTGCGCAGCGATGGATTTGCTCTTCAGTGTTAGGACTTTCAGCAGTGAAAATTAAACTAAACTGAACTTCAACTTTGAAAACTGGACGGACACAGTCTCAATTTACTCTAACGTCTATGTTAAGCTGCTTTGACACAGTCTACATTGTAAAAGCACTGTAGAAATAAAGATGAATTGAATTGAACATATGTGATCCTTTCTATCCCAGTTTTGAGATTGTATCGCCATAAAAATAAGTAAAATATAGTCCATTTCTGTTTATTACAGTAAATGATAGATTAAATATCAAGGTTTTGAGATGTTTACATTTATAACATAATTAATTAATTTTTGAGCAAAAAAAAAATCAGAGGATTGCAACCTAAACATTGATTGAATCGTCTCTGGGTAAAGTCCATCTATGGAGAACATTAAATCTGCTTGGGAAGAAGAACTTGCAGTAGAAATTCCAAGTGAAATTTGGGAACAAAGTCTTGAACTGGTTCACAGACGTTCTATTAATGCAAGACATTGTCTCATACAGTTTAAAGTGTTTCATAGGCTTCATTATTCCAAGTGTAAATTAAATAAAATATTTCCAAATGGTTCCCCAGTGTGTGCCAAATGTCAGTTATTAGACTCTAACCTGTCTCATTCCTATGTATGTGTCCCAAATTACAGAGTTTCTGGAACAAAATATTTTAAGTTTTTTTCAGCTACAATAGACATTCTGATTGAACCAGATCCAATAATAATTATATTTGAAGTTTCCGAAGAAATTTTGAGACTTAAACTGCTACAACAACAGTTTGCTTCATATGGGTTGATCTCTGCCAAAAAACTCATCCTTTTGTTTTGAAAGAAAAAAGAAGTTCCAACTCTTAAATTATGGCTGACAGAGTTAACAGGTACACTACATCTGGAAAAAATCAGATACACCCTAATAGACAAGTATTTGTTATTTGGAAAAATTTGGTCCCCTTTTATTTCCTTTAAACAAACTTGTAATTAATATGTTTACTACACCTTTAGTACCTATGTTTATTGTTGGATAGCACTGGTGGGTGGTTGGTTGGGGGAATGCATGTTTTCTTTTATTATTATTATTATTATTATTATTAGTGTTATTTTAATTAATATTTTCATGACTGTTGTTTGTTGTTGTTTTTTTTCTCAATTATTACTTTATTTAATTTACTTTTTAAAATGTTAATTGTTGGAATGCAAGTTTTATGTTAATGTCAAAAAAAGCGTTTATTCAAGTAAATGTCAGCAAAAATTTCTCATAATAAAAATATTGAAACCAATCGTCTCTGGGTTTACATTCGGTACAGAAAAACCTTCTGATTCTCATATCATTTTCTTCATACATTTCTTTTCTACCATTAGAGATGGCAAAAATACTAATATAATATTTTTAACATCTATCCAAATTCACAAATGTCAGCTCAGTGTCTTTACAGCATGCAACTTTAGCCACATTTTTCCTGCTTTATTTTGTTTTAAAGCTCTACATTTGTGAAGGAAATGTTTGTTTGCTGCCTGCCCCATACCGCTTGCTTGCCTTTCGAATTGTTCTTTTGGATTATGCTTTACATTGTAGTTTGCCCCCTGTTCTGACCTTTGCCTGTTCGACCATTCTTTAAAAAAAAGCTGCTTATAAAACTTGCATGCCCCATTTGTGACAACGGGAAGTCACCATAAAACATGAAATGTCAATAAATGTGTTTTGACAGTGTCTATGATCTCTGCTCTGCTCAAATCTGTTTTCTCCTACACTGGTAAGTAATTAGTCCTCTGTAATAGTGCTGATAATTAATCCAGTGACCTCTTGATACACGTCCATGGCAACAGCAGCACAGATCCAAGAGAAGAGAAGAGCGAGAGGCTGAAAGCATCTTCATACCGCAACACAATTGCTTTTACTCCCCCAAACATCACTCATTTATCATCACTCAGCCTCCCACTCCTCTTCAATCTGCTGATGCACAGGTGGCTCGTAAGCTTCAAAACAGATACACTTACAAGCAAAATGTCTGTTATGAGATGTCGTGTGTCACGAGACGGTGTGTGTATACCTGTAGGCCGCAGAGGTAGATCATGCTGTACATCATCTGAGTGACGCAGAAACAGTGGCGGAAATTGTGAAAAGGGTTGTTCCTGTAATTGTCATGGATGCAAAGCTGAAAGAGGTAAGAAAGGAAAAAGGCTGTTTTATTTGTGTAATTTTATTATATTTTAAGCCTTGTAATTGCACATTATCTGTTAATTTTGCCTTGAGAACAATGCAAATGAATGGAAAGGGCTGGCAATATTATATATAACAGAAAATTTACAAGATATTATTTATATTTTTATTTAATTTAATTTTACTTTTTATTCTGTTTGATTTTCAAGCATTATCCAAAAGATATCATTATATTAAAGTATCACATTCAGTCCCGGCCACTTTATTAGGTACACCTGTCCAACTGCTCATTAATGCAAATTTCTAATCAGCCAATCACATGGCAGCAACTAAATGCATTTGGGCATGTAGACATGGTCAAGATGATCTGCTGCAGTTTAAACCAAGCATCAGAATGGGGAAGAAAGTTGATTTTAGAGATTTTGAACATGGCATGGTTGTTGATGCCAGACGGGCTGGTCTGAGTATTTCAGAAACTGCTGATCTACTGGGATTTTTACGCACAACCATCTCTAGGGTTTACAGAGAATGGTCTGAAAAAGAGAAAATATCCAGTGAGTGGCAGTTCTGTGGGCGCAAATGCCTTGTTGATGTAAGAGGAGAATGGCCAGACTGATTCGAGCTGATAGAAAGGCAACAGTAACTCGAATAACCACTCGTTACAGTCGAGGTATGCAAAAAATCCTCTCTGAATGCACAACACATCCAACCTTAAGGCGTATGGGCTACAGAAGCAGAAGACCACACCAGGTTCCACTCCTGTCAGCTAAGAACAGGAAACTGAGGCTAAAATTCACACTGGCTCACCAAAATCAGACAATAGAAGATTGGAAAATGTTGCCTGGTCTGATGAGTTTTGATTTCTGCTGCAACATTCGGATGGTAGGGTCAGAATTTGGCATCAACAGCATGAAAGCATGGATTCATCCTGCCTTGTATCAACGGTTCAGGTTAGTGGTGGTGGTGTAATGGTGTGGGGGATATTTTCTTGACACACTTTGGGCCCATTAGTACCAATTGAGCATCGTGTCAACACCACAGCCTACCTGAGTATTGTTGCTGACTATGTCCATCCCTTTACGACCACAGTGTACCTATTTCAACTTCCAGCAGGATAACACTCTATGTCATTAAGCACGAATCATCTCAGACTGGTTTCTTGAACACGAAAACGAGTTCACTGCACTCAAATGACCTGCACAGTTACCAGATCTCAATCTAATAGAGCACCTTTGGGATGTAGTGGAGCAGGAAATTTGCTTTATGGATGTTCAGCCAACAAAGCTGCAGCATCTTCGTGATGCTATCATGTCAATATGGACCAAAATCTCTGAGGGATATTTCCAGTACCTTGTTATATCTATGCTATGAAGTATTAAGGCAGTTCTGAAGGCAAAAGAGGGCCCAACCTGGTACTAGTAAGGTTTACCTAATAAAGTGGCCAGTGAGTGTATTTTTTGATACATATTTTTACATTAGGAACAATACAATCATCCCTAACCAATAAACCAAATAAATAAATGAATATACAAATAATCCCATAAATGTCCATATGTATTTTTCCTCTGCAAAATTAAAATAAAATCAATCAGATTAGGCAAACCATTTTACAACAGTGTGTTGTTCTGTATGGAAAAAAAAAATTGAGGCAGCTAACAATATTGACTCTAAAAATATATTTTTAAAAAAAATACGTTCCACCCAAACTAAAATAAATACAACTTTTTCTCTAAAAGAAAACAATTATATTAGGAAATACTGTGACAAAATACTTGCTCTGTTAAACATCACTTAGGAAATTTTTTAAAAATAATAATATTTTAACTGTAGATACAAGAATACGATCAGAATATACATTTAATTTAGTTTTTTGAAGCACTAATTCATTTTTGCCAGAAGCTAAATAAAACTTCCCACAACCAATAAACCAACCAAATAAATGAAATAATGAATGCATATGAATTTTTTACTAGAGTAAAGTAAAAATAAAATTAAATAACTATCAAATTTTGGAGGGAATTAAGTAGTATTTATTGTTTTAATAAAATCATAATTAATTTTACTCAAAAATATATTTATTTCCAGAAGAAAATAAAATTACATACATACACACACACACATACATACATACATACAAACATACATACATACATACATACACACATACATACATACATACATACATACATACATACATACATACATACATACATACATTATACATTAATTAATAAAATGGTAAAAAAAAACAAAAAAAAAACTATATATATATATAATTGTTCCCTTACCAGCCATCTCTTAAGTGTGATGGGGTTAATATTAAAGTCCTTCACCAGACCAAGATCATGATACATGTGCTCCAGGCAACTCAGCATCTTAAAGAACAAAACACGGATGACATCATCTTCAACAATACGAGCACTACAGTAGTCATCATGAGCCTCACTCCTCCCCCTCATTCACAGCTGTAGAGTTTCTGCATGTCTGATGCTCACCTCATTAGACTCCCACTGCCACACATCGAAGAGCGGCTGCTTCAGAGCCTCTACTGTGTCCTGCGACAGGTGGTACTATACAAAGACCACAGCGAGACGAGAAAGAAGATGGGAGAGCTGTTAGACTCTTACCTCATAGGACTCCCCAGCCAAATGTGGAGGGTGGGTTTTCTGAGGGCGTCTGCGCTCTACTGGGAGAGTACGTACTGCAGACGACAGAGCTCTCTGTTACACCCTCCAGTACCAACACCTGGCTGTGGACACTGCCTATACACTCACTGATACACTCCACACAGTCCTGTACTGTCATTGTTTACTCGCTCCCCTGTCATTACAAACCTTCAAAGACTATCTAATTTCCCTTGATTTTTCAATAATTAAGGAAGAGTATAATTAGAAAAAGGTTTGGTGCTATGGGTAAGTTTAAAGGTGGGTTAAAGTGTAAGGGATGGTCAACATTGAAATTAAAAATTGATGTAAAAAGATGCAAATACATGCAGATATTTAATCAATCATAAGTACAGTGTAATACATGTATTTAAACATTGTATTTACAGAAATATTTTAACAAATAACAATGTTAATTAGTAAAGGCCACTAAATCTAAGTGGCACCCTTTCTTTTCTTTGTTTTTTCTACACAAGAATATTATCCAATATATACCATTTTGTGAGATATAAACAATAATAATGGTTGTAATGGATTTCCTGTTGTCCACTTTTAATTTTCATAGTTCCCAAAAATCTTAGAATGTCCACATATTGATAAATAACACGCCAGCTGTTTTAACATTGACATAGGATTTTGTTAGTTATTAAAATAGCTAGACAACAAGCAGGACCTGTTCATAGGCCAATGGCATCACCATATTGAAATAGGCTATCTATATTCAGTTGAAGTCAGAATTATTAGCCCCCTCTGAATTATTAGCCCAACTATTTATTTTTTTCCCCAATTTCTGTTTAACTGAGAAGAGTTTTTTCAACACATTTCTAAACATAAGTTTTAACAACTCATTTCTCATAACTGATTTATTGTATCTTTGTCATGATGACAGTAAATAATTTTTGACTAGATATTTTAAGGTTTAACTTGGTTAAATAGGTTAACTAGGCAGAATAGGGTAATTAGGCAAGTTATTGCATAATGATGGTTTGTTCTGTAAACTATTGAAAAAATATAGCTTAAAGGGGCTAATAATTTTGACCTTAAAACGGATTTTAAAAAATTAAAAACTGCTTTCATTCTAGCTGAAATAAAACAAAAAAGACTTTCTCCATAAGAAAAAAAAAAATATCACACATACTGTGAAAATTTTCTTGCTCTGTTAAAAATCATTTGGAAAATATTTAAAAAAGAAAAAAATTTAAAGGGGGGCTAATAATTCTGACTTGATTGAAATGATTCTCAACTGTATATGGATGGATGGATGGATGGATGGATGGATGGATGGATGGATGGATGGATGGATGGATGGATGGATAGATAGATAGATAGATAGATAGATAGATAGATAGATAGATAGATAGATAGATGATAGATAGATAGATAGATAGATAGATAGATAGATAGATAGATAGATAGATAGATAGATAGATAGATAGATAGATAGATAGATAGATAGATAGATTAACATTTTACCCAAACCTGTATATATATACACACACTTTTTTTCAAAGCTACATATTCTATATATGGTCCAAAGACTTTAAATCCTATTAAAATTTACTGTTTTCAAAATTAATACTTAGATGATTTACGCTGGATCACATGACATTAAAAACTAAAGCAATGATGCTTAGGGCTCTACTTTGATGGTCCATGCGCAGAGCGCAAAACGCAGGGCGCAAATGCTTTCAGGGCGTGTCAGGACGCGTTTTTGCTCATTTAAGGACGGAGTTTATTTTCTTAATGAGTTATAGGTGTGTTTTGAGAATAAACCAATTAGAGTCTCATCTCCCATTCCCTTTAAGAGCCAGCAGCGTCGCGCCAAGAACGCATTCGCTATTTACAGGACGCAAAGTAAGTCTTAGTGGAAAAAATGAGCATTTCACATGCAAACAGTTAACAGTTGACAGTTTTTTAACAGAAAACTGTTAAACAGAGCATCTACTGCGTGAGAATGAGAGATAATGGATCTACTTTCACTTTCGCTCTTGGATAGGGAAACCTTTACGCACAGACAACAATTAGTCTATAACTAAATAATTTTGTTTGTTTAGCGCAAATATTCGTTTCAAAACTATTTCTAAATTCAGTTCTAATTTCCAGCAAACGAATAAATGAATAATAATAACAAAATGTGCTCAAAAACCTGAGTTATATCCTAAAAAACATGCTGTGCCCCATATGGTCTAAAACCTGCCAGGTGGGCAAATCTTAGCTTGTTTTTAATAAAACAGATATAATTATGGATATAATAAATAATACTGATAATAATAATAACATTATACAAAAGCAAATTGTTATGAATGAACTGAAAAAGCCTCCCGAGATGAAGAAGACATAAAAGCAGTGATTTTTCATATTTATGTAGGCTAAAAAATAATATTTTTTGTAATATTTTAATCCTTATATGTATATCCTATATATATTCTTAATATTAAAATTTTTTCATATGTAAAGATATTTGCCTATTGCTCTCTTGTGCGTATTAAGCAGTGCGTAAGCGAGGCGCAACTCTGCGCCAGAGTTTAGACCGGGATGGTTTTGGTCTAATGAAAAATCTATTATAGTTTCTCAAAATAGCAACGCGCCAGCAGTGCGCCTCAGAACGCCTTCCTTTTTAGACCAGAACGCCTATGGGTGCACATATGAGTGCTAATGCATTTGCTATTTAAACAGCGTAGCACAACGCCTCAAAACAACTCTTGCGCCAAGCTGAAACTACCAAAAGACTATTGCGCCGCGCCTTGCGCCACACTGCGCCGGGTGTATGATAGGGCCCTAAATGTTCAGCATTTAAATCAAAGGAATAGTTTTAAATATATTAAAAGAAAAAATATATATTTTAAAATCACAAAAACTGTGCAATATTGCTGTTTTTACTGTATGTTTTGATAAAATATTCGACCTTGTTGAAAATTGGAGACCAACAAAAGATAAATAAATCAATTTGTATGTTTGTCTCAAATCTTTCTATTTTGTTTAATAATTTGTTACATCATGTTCTCTAAAGCACAAACCCTGAACTGTGTGTATAAAAGTGCTGTAATTAACTGGAGCTGTATACACCAACTGAATAAAGCACAAACACTTTGCAGAAATAATGAGGGGAAACTCAAGCATATCTGTCATTTTACCTTTGGGTATGAAGGCACATCTCTGCGAGGAGTTAACTTCTTGTTGTCTTCTAGGAAACTACTGCAAAGGTGAAAAAGCAGAGCTCAGTCGCTCACAGAACAGGCTGTGTTTTTATTGTAAACAAGATGTCGACATCTCACAGAATATGCAGCTCTCTTTGATTCATCTTGAATCCCATCTTTCACTAATAAGAGCATGTGAGAGCCATGTCAGCTCATTTATTCTCAAAAGGGAATAAACCGGCCTCATCATAGTATTTTTAACAAGAGCTGAGCAAGACAACACCTGGGCTGTGTCTTAACTCTTCTCTCATTAAAGTTCGCAGTACAGACAGTGATATGAATCGCATAGATTAGGCTTGAGCAAGACACACTCTCGCTCTCCATATGCACCAGACACTTTCTTATCAGCATTTTTTGTTCTAACCACACACAATGTGACACTACAACAAGTGATGAAAGGTATTGTAGTAAAGAGAGCATGGTCCCTTTAAGCTTATTGACTATGTTTATTCTGTTCCCATTCCTATTGGCTATTTAGTTACATCAGTCAGGAAGTATGTGATGAGACACGTTGTGTACGCAAAGTTCAGTTGATTATAGAGGTTGCTTGCATGCGCATCACACGGTCAGAAAAGCTGCCGTTCTGTGCCAGAGCAAAAGCACCAATCAGCGGGAACAGTGACGTGTAAGCTGTGTGTTTATGCCACTTGTACTGCTGTGAGTAAACTGTGAATCTACGCTGTTTACGTTAAGTCAACCTTATACAGAGAAGACAATCATCTTGTCATGACTCATTGCTCCCACGAACACACATAGGCCAAAATAAAAACTAAACTAACTGAACATAAGACAGTATCTTTTCTATGTTAAAATGAGTTTGACACATGCGTTTCGACACATTAAATGTAAATTTTAGAATCTGAATTTCTATTTCTGCGACATATGGCTGAAAAACATAAACTACAATGACAATGATCACCTCAGGTACTGATTATGTGCCTTATTCAGTGCTAAATGTTACTAATATGAGTTTAAATACTATTTTACAAGATATTTATTGCACTAATACTGAAAGCAGTAGCTGATCTTGAAAACGAAATAACTAGCAAACAATTTAAAAATAAAAGTCAGAACTGACTCCAAATAACAACATAAGTCGGTAACACTTTACAATAAGGTTCATTAGTTAATGCATTTACTATCATGAACTAATCATGAACAAGACATGTACAGCATTTATTAATCATAATTGAACATTTACTAATGCATTATTAACATCCAAGTCCATGCTTGTTAACATTAGTAAATTGCACCATGAGTTAACATGAACTAACAATGAACTACTGTATTTTCATTAACTAACGTGAACTAACATGAACAAATACAGTAGTAAATGTATTGTTCATTGTTTGTTCATGTTAGTAAAAGCATTAATTAACATTAACTAATGAACCTTATTGTAAGGTGTGACCCATAAGTCTTTCAGTCAACTATTAAACAGATTGAATATGTAATAATTAGATTATAAACCTTAAATTTGGTAGGGAGTGCAGTGTGAACAAACAAATTGCTTGCTACTGGAGAGCAGCGTCCCAAATGACACACTATACACTATGCTCTTATTCACTATGTACTTATGCACTTACACACTCAATAGCATAATATACAAATGTAGTGTCCTCCCAAATGGAACAGTAATGTTTTTTTTTTACTAAACGGAAACATAATGTGGAGATTAACTATGTATAGCAATAACAGTGTGGTAATTTTTCAAACATTTCTTCTCTAATTCAAATTATGTTTTGCATTGTTCGAATGTATCATTTTAAATAACAGAAATTCTATATTCATTGCATGCTTGCATCCCAATGCACATACTTATACTATCTAATGTACTTTTTTGGGGAAATAAGTACAGAAGTGCATGCAAGCTTTGGGACATGCTGCTTTCTCATGTTATATTGCTTAGTTACATTCGCTGTCAATCATCTGTACACATCATCCACATTTCTTTCATATTTAATTACCTACCATATTGGTGAAGCAGCAGCAGGTTAATCTGCCATTGTGAGTCTTTCATGCAGAGAAATCTCCTCAGTTCTTTGGATAATTATGTATTCAGAAGTTAATGTTCAAACAGGTCTTTATAGAAGTTCACATTGCTGTTGCACTTGTAATATAACACGTAAAACATTATTTAAATATTTCCCAGTAGGTAAGATATTAATTTGATAGCAAAGTCCTTTCAATGCAAGTTATTTCACTCAGCAGCCATCTCTGAAACTCCTCTCGGGCAGTATTCTCAGGCATTCTGTCTGAATGAGGAAACATTAAATTCTCCATAACTGTTTGTCAAGCTTACAATTACATTAAATATTTGAAATCACCAATAAAATTAAACATCAACTGTGTCATAAATTTAGTTTCTAAACATTTGGATCAAACAAAATCTGCATATTTTTAGGTTGCCTGAGCTAACTAATGCTCAACAAACCTCATTTATGCCCATTCTAGATTCTGCTCTTTAAAAGTAATTCACAACTTGAACTTGGCAAATCTCCTCCAGAAATGAAAGCGACTTTTTGTGTGTGCTTGAGTAATTGCTGTCATGTGATGTTCGTTTGACAGGACAGGCTGTACCTCATGTTTGTTTCATATAGTGAAAATGAAGTGCACTTTATTTAAAAGTACATATCTCAAGCTTTATGTGGATATACTTCTTATGAATGTGTAGGAAGTATTCACAGAGATTCCCGTGTGTGTGTGTTTGTTGACCACCAAACTGTAAAAGTACATGTCTGGTCCAAGTCTATAGTGTTCGATGATTGGTTCCTGTACTAGTAGGCAGGGCTTACTAGTATATACAGTTGAAGTCAGAATTATTAGCCCCCCCCTGAATTATTAGCCCACTTGTTTATTTTTTCCCCAATTTCTGTTTAAAAGAGAGGAGATTTTTTTCAACACATTTCTAAACATAATAGTTTTAATAACCCATTTCTAAGAACTGATTTATTTTATCTTTGCCATGATGACAGTAAATAATATTTAACTAGATATTTTTCAAGACACTTCTATACAGCTTAAAGTGACATTTAAATTAACTATGATGAATGATGGTTTGTTTTGGAGAATAACCCTGAAGCACACAGCATAAGGTAAGAGATGACAGCTGTCTGTGCTATCTGGGGCTGCTTATTGATCATAAATATATAAATTTTTTTCACTTCTGCGCCATGGAAACACCACAATTCATTCGAAAACTGTTTGAATGTGAATATAATTCAGTAAAAAGAATGCTACAACCGTATGAGCACTGGCAAGAGCTTTCATTTGAGCTATAATTTGTACATGTGTCATATATGAACCATATAAAAATAAACCAATATTCAATCCCCAGCTGGGGTCTCCAAAATACTGTGTATTTAAGTGTAAATAACTTTTGTACAGTAGAATAAAAACCAAAGTGATGCATATGTGGATAAAACATAGATTCTACACTTTCAAACGAAACCACTTAAGGGGGTCTGGTGCAATGCACCAATATATATATGTGTGTGTGTGTGTGTGTGTGTGCGTGTGTGTGTATATATATATATATATATATATATATATATATATATATATATATATATATATATATATATATATATATATATATATAGTGGATAACAACCTCTGAAACTTATACATATTCATATGCTTGTCTGTCATGCAGATGTTCTTGAATGTTCGGTGACATCTTGTGACTGAATAATAAGAATAATCTGTTTGTTGAATTTAGGATTTTTTTTCTTTTGTGGTAAGTACATGTGAAATAATCTTACATGTGCATGAGTTTGAGCACAAACAATAAGCATCCGGCTACAATTTATGGAATCAGTTTAGTCTCAAAAGAAATTCACGCAAAAGACACGATGTACACATGCGTAGCCAAATTTACGTGCATAAAATCAAATTCTCGTGCGTAACATATTTATTTATATTCACAAAAATGTTCACGTGCTCAAAAAAAAAAACATTTTCATAAAATACGTTTCACAAATGCAAAACACCATTTGCAAATGTATAAGAGTGTACAAAAAGTTTTGAATGTTTAAAACTTGCGAGTTTATCCTGAATGAGAATGTGCAAATCCTCTTTCACGAACGACTCCCCCTGGATACGTGTGTGTGTATTTTTGAGACTTTCCTGCCAGAGGCAGGGTAACTCATACCTTTCAGCCAATCAGATGAGAGCTGTAGTCAATGACACCAACTCTGCGCTTCATTTGCTCAGACTGTTTCTCTCCAGCATGGCGAACGGAGAAAGCAGCAGTCGCAGTTGCACTTTTTTTTAATTTATTTAATTATTTGACCATAGCCTCACTCTTTTTATCCATTATTTTGCCGCAGCTCCGCTCTTCTTATTTATTGTCTCGCAGCTTCAGGAGCAGTTTGTAGCCTGCAAAATGATGAATTATCTTTCCTGAAATGCAAGCACAGCAGTACCGTTGTGGTCTAGCGGTCAGCACGTTGCGTTATCAAGCTACCGACCCGTGTTCGAGCCTCACCAGTGATTAACCAGTGATAGCAATTCACTTAACAACCACTGGTGTCACTAAAAACAAGCGTTTCTGAATTCAGTGTATTGCTTCTTTAAATGTCCTTTTTTTTAAACCGCATCAGATTACAGATGAAAACTCAGTCAGCAATATTTGAGTGCAGCATTAGCATTTACTCCATATAAGCCACTGACCTGTTGTTTCTGGAAGCCATCTCCTCCCGCAGCTTCTTGATGTCACTGCGACATTTCTCTATCTCCACCACCTTCATCCCTTCCACTGAAGAGAAAAATGAAAAAAACGAACATATAAACGCATGAAGTTGTTTTAACGTATCGAAACTGAGCCATACAGAGAGAAAATATGGAAATGAATGGGTGGAAATGAGCCGCAGGGCTTTCCCTACTCAAACACACACACACACACACACACACACACACACGCACACAGTAAACACACACAGTAAACACAGACTGATGAGCCATAAAAAGAACAGTTCACACCTGTCACCGTCTGGCATGTGTCTGCATCTCACAACACTGGATTTAAGAATGAAGATATGCCACACAACCTGCTTGTGTTGGCAGATGTAGAGTTTCTTCCATGTGATTGAATGATTTTTTTTAATGGAAAATTGATTAAATGCATGGCTCTGGGCTCACATTGAGAAATTGCATTAGATTATTCTTGAAATAATAAACAAAAATCAGCACACTGCCACTATTTCTCTCAAAAGATGATTTATTACGACAGCGTTTTGACCTGCAGGGTCTTCATCAGGTCACACAGGCAATTCAAGAAAACCTTAGATCTACCTTTTTAGCAACCACAAATGGGAAACCAATAATAGTCCTAATTAACCAATTAAGAGGCAACCAAAAATTCATGTTTTATATTTTGTTCAACCTACTTTTTTAAAATGATCTGAAACAACACAATTGCTGTCGTTGTGGTCAATTTACATTTTTTTTATGTGCAATCCACCCAAATAAAAAAATAAAAAATAAAAAAATAAGTAAACTTAATTCCTTCATGTTGTCCCAACGCAAATCGATTGTGTAGAATGCAGCATTTTTTTTTTTTTTTTGCAATGAATGATGTGAAAAAACACACACAAAGAAAACCTAAAAAACAAAAATATACAGAAAGGATATATACAAAAAAATAAAAAAATAAATAAAAAAATTACATAAAGGTTTCAAACTGTTAAATTCATACCTTTTTATGACAAGGTATTTAATGTGTAAATATAAAAAGCTTTACTCTGAAGTAAAATTTTATCAATATCATCACCATGTCTATGTACAGTATTTAGTAAAAATACATAGAAAAAAAAGTGTTTTTGTGTATTTTTCCCTGTCATTTGACTGGCTAATTTGGAATATTATTAAATAATATAATAATATATTTGAATAATCATCATAATTTTATAATATCATTATATTTTCATTATAAGTTATTTAAAGATGTGCGCACACTGACCCCTTGTTTATCCATTAGATGAATCCTGAACATCTGTAAGCCTCTAAAGAATGTGTCGAAACTTACAAATAAAGATACTGTATGTACATTTTTGACTATGCTAAGTGAAGTTATTTACTTATCTGAATTGCAATACAAAAGTCAGTAATTCTCAGAGTTAGGGGTACCAAATTAAAACAAGAGTAAAAAAAGTAAAAACAAGAGAAAAAGTCACTTAAAAGTAACATGTAACAGGTTAATAACATGATAAGACGTTAATAGGTTAGATTAGGTCATGACGTCAGGTGTCAGGTCTAGCCAGTGTCTAAGGACAATGTTATTTTGACGTTGGCCTGACGTTGGGTTCTAACGTCAACCTGATTTTCATTTCCAAACAAAATCCAAAGTCCCCATGACGTTGGGGGTACATTGGGGTACAACATCAGTATGACATCATGTTGAAGTCCTGTGCCTCCAGGGTAGTAAGTAACACATCTGGGGAGTAACTTAATATTGTAATGCATTACTTTCGAAAGTAACTTTTCAACCCTACACTTATTGTTCTTTTGAAAATGTGAGGTCCGTTTCAAAATGACTGTCTTCTTTAAATAATGGCGTTATTTTAAGGTTGTTTATCCTTAGCCTATATCTCGTAACACTGAGTTTACCTCTCACAATTGTTTCATTCATTCACTTTCTTGTCGGCTTTGTCCCTTTATTAATCAGGGGTCGCCACAGCGGAATGAACCACCAACTTATCCAGCACGTTTTTACGCAGCGGATGCCCTTCCAGTCACAACCCATATCTGGGAACTCACAATTGTTCATATTTTGCAATTATGCCACAAAATTCAGAGTTTACAACATACAATTTTTCATTTATGTTTTTAAATTCTTAGGTTATGTCACATAATTTTGAATTCACATCTGACGATTCTTAAAGTTTGTTGCAATTCTTTGTTTTTTTCTCAAATTAATGTCTCTCCAAGTTGTAAAGTCTCACAACTCAGATTTATTTTCTAGCAATTAAAGTTAAAATCGTGCAGAGTTACTCAGTGTTTTTTTTTATTATTAATAATGTACAAACATTTTTTGTGAGTAAAAATCTAGATATGTATGTAGATAAATAAAAAAACCCAGCAGCAACATCATAAGACATTAATCTTGGGTAAGATTTTGGTTGCCAACATCTAAGGACAACGCCATATTGGTGTCCAAGAATGACATGAAATAATGCTGATATTTGGTTGATTTTAGGTTGTTAGAAAGTGACCAAAAACGTTGAGCCAACATCCTAAACCAACGTTATATCGACATCAAATACTAACATCTATTCATCAGGTATGGCAACTAAAATCCAACATCTGATAGACGTCATATAAGTAACGTCCACACAATGTCAAGCTGTAACATCATTAGACGTTGATATTTTGTTGTTTGTAGGTTGCAATGGTAAATGCAACGTCTTTTCAATTTTGGACATTGATGAAGACCTGACATTGGGCTCTGATTTTGGGCTGTCCACGTCCCTCAACATTGGGGTATAACATCAATCTGATGTCATATTGACGTCCTGTGTCTGCTTGGATATCACAAGAATGACAGCATAACAATTAAGGAAAAACATCAATAGATTATTCGATTGTACTACTTGTTTGTTACTAATATTTTACTACTAATATTTGTTGTAGTGCCCTTACCCTGTTGATATTGACATCAGTCTAATTTTGTTGTTACAAGTGACCAATAAATTTGGAGTCAAAGTATTGTATAGTTTGATTAGACTGGTGACCTCTGGACTTTTGTTGTATAATTTAATTAGCGCAATCAAACACATCATATAATCGGTGGACTTCCTGCTACTATTCTGTTTATAGACAGTGTACAGTAATAAATCAGCTGAAACAATATGAGGCGGGTGAAGTGTTCACACTGATGCGAGGTCAGAGTCCATTACCATGGTGACTGATTTCATCATGGTTCTGTCTGGATTTCTATGGGCACACAGTCATGCTGCAATGGAATGAATCCTGAACTCTGGTGTTGTTACATGGAGCGTCATTACTGAAAATAAACTCGTCTACAATGGCTGTCAAGGCCAAAGATGATGCAACTGAACTCACTTTTGATTCACTGTTTAACACATGGTTGGTAGTGGACTAGAGGTAACAGCAGATAACAGAACTATCAATAGTTTGATTTTCAAGGAAAGGAAAACTGATAAAACATGTCGCTTGAAGACTGCCTGACAAAAGTCTTGTTGCCTATCGCCTAGTTGTAGGAACTGCAAACAATAACTTGACTTCTATTTGATCATTTGGTATCACAAGTGGCTTATATGAAAGGCAAAGGCTCTAGATTACACTTATTTTACCAGAATAAAATATGATTATGCCTTGATTGCAGGACTCCCATAGTTCATCTAGATTCTTTGATTTCGTCTTTAATGCTTCCTCCATCTTACCTCAGACATGCTCAATAAATGTTCATATCTGGTGACTGGGCTGGCCCATCCTGGAGCACATTAACCTGTTTTGCTTTCAGGAACTTTGATGTGGAGGCTGAAGTATGAGAAGGAGTGCTATCCTGCTGAACAAGTTGCCATCTCCTGTGGTTTGTAAAGTAAAGGGCAGCACAAACGTCTTGATACCTCAGGCCGTTGATGTTGCCATCCACTCGTCATGATTTTTCCCCCACCAAACTTGACTAATTTGTGTGAAAATCTTGACATATGGGTTCCAATAGGTCTTTTGCAGTATTTGTGATGATTGGGAGGCAGTTCAACAAATGATTCACCGGAAAAATCAACTAGAAGTTGATTCGCTGGGATCGATGACTTTTGTCAGGTAGTGTGACTCATCTTTAAATTGACATCTACATCAAATTTTTTTTTCAAAAATCCAATCGCTTTTAAGTCAATACCTTTACGTCCATTTGACATCCATACATGATTCCCTTTAGACCACTAAAATACAGACACAAAAATTATTATAATACGCAAACATTTTCAATTCCTTCAATTACAAACGACAATTTTATACTGGATTTTGTATCCCTACAATGCATGTAAACAACTTTGATGATTTAAAATTGGCCTAAAAACACATATTTTGACTGTCCTGTAATCAACTTTTAATGTTATTTTGATATCAATTTTCTATATCAGATGTCAACTTGATGTACTTTTGACATAAAATTGACATTTGATGTCAAATTGATTAGCATTTTGACATGTTTAGATGTCGTTTTGATGATGGACCAATAAGGAGTGTTTGAAAACACTTTAAACATGCTAGTAGCACACTATCTTTTTAACTATCTTTCAAACAGATACTGTATGTTTTAATATGCATCCTGTAGATGTGTATTCCAGTTCAACATTCATTTATTTAATTGCAGACTGCAGCTCTGCACAAGACGTTTGGCCATAGGAGAAATGGTCGTGCCCAACTGAGCCTGATTTCTCAAGTGTTTTAATTCTTCACTTTTGCCAATTGGTAAAGTTTTATTTTTTTCCTTGCCACTGTTGACACAGGCTTGCATGGTTCGGGACCTGTAGAGCTGCGCATCAATGGATTTACTTTTCAGTGTTTAGACTCTCAGCAGTGAATATTAAACCACACTGAACCTACCCACTAAGGCTAAACTGAACTTAAACTCTGAAAACTGCTTCATTTTACTATAATCTTCCACGTGAAGCTGCTTTGACACAATCTACATTGTAAAAGAGCTATACAGATAAAGGTGAATTGAATTGTGGAAATGAGGAGCTTTGGGGGGAAAAAAGCTCCACTTTGAACAAAATATGCAAATGTATAAACAAATGTGAACTTATGACAGGCAGCATGTTTGCTTACATGGGCTGCTTGATACATTTAGTTCGAAAATGATTCTTATTAAAATCCATTGATATTTTTTGTTAAACAATGATTCATCAATTAAACTGATTAAAATTACACGGACTTTTACAAACATAAATATACACATAACTGTATCTAATTGTATCAACACAGACGTATAATTAATAAATCAGCATATTAGAATGATTTCCAGAGGTTTTGGATAGAAACTATGCCGAAAATTAGTTTGTAATGTAGTCAATGGCCTTGCACCTTTTTATTAATGCAAAATTTTGCATATTTATCAACCAAGCAGAACCTTGAGATGTGCTGGCCAACTTCTGCTAGGAGTCCGAGGTACAAGCAGTGGGGTGATCACTCTTTTGCAGTGGCAAGTTAGCAAACTTTGGAATACCCTTCCTACTGAGCTTCGTACAATCACTGACCTGCCACTTTTTAAGGCCAAGCTCAACACCCACTAATTCAAAATGGCTTTTAATGCATAGTAACACTGTCTCAGTTTTATTGTTTTGCTGTATTTTATTGGTATTTCTTGTATTGTTTTTGCATTGTTTGCTATTTAGTTGTGTTGTATATATTGTTTTTACTGGTGTTAAGCACTTTGGTCAACCCTGGTTGTGGTAAGGTTCTATATAACCAAAGGTTGATTGATTGACTGATTGATTGATTGATTGGTTGATTGATTGAAATTGTAGATTTCCCATCATGTATAAATTCCTCTAAATTGCATTAATATTCACAGCATTACAGCTTTTGCTATATGTTTGATGACATAACATGCAGATTCAAAAATCTTACTGATGTCAAGATTTTATGTGCATTAGTATTTTATTTACTGGTCCAGTATTGCTTATAGGAGCAACAGAAGCAATGAAAGAGTTCACCGTGACCTGGTTTTATATTTTACAGGCTCTGTTGATGGTCTGTTTGCACACAACACTCTGCTCATGACACTTCAGCTTAGTACAGAGCCTTCTCAAATATACAGTGTGAAAAGCTAATGAATAATCTTCATTTTTCCACAGATGAAAACACAGTGCCTTGTAAATCTTAAGTATAGGTTATGTTTTAATTTAAATTTACATCAAATTATACAAGAAAATAACTTACATTGTCCTTGTAAGAAAATGTATCTCAGTGAGTAAATAAAAACCAAAAAATTGCGGAAAACAGGAAAACAATAAGTAACATATGAATTGTAGAGGTCCCATAACATCTATGCAGTGCTATTTTGAATATTAAAAGGTACTGTGAAGTACTTTAAAATATTAATTTGTTATTCAATATTTGACGTGATCTCAAATGAAACTTCAAGACAGGGCAGGACAGGACAGTAGCTCCTCTCTTTAAAAAAAAACAGCTAATAGTGTTTTGTTTTTTACCATAGCTCTGAAAGTATGCGCATTCACATGAAAAGCAAATGAGAAGTGTCATGAAGAGGGCGGGACATGTCAGATACTAGAGAGCATTTGATTCGTCTGAACATTTGATGAGAAACTGAAGTATAAAAAAAAATAACATTGAAGCTTCATCAACAAGAAGATAAATACAAAAATATAACCCCAAATCAGAAAAAGTTGGTTCAGTATGCAAGAATTTCATTGCAGACAATATGGACACAAAATATCTCATGTTTTGTCTGATTAACTTCATTTCATTTGTAGATACACACCCTTTCCTGTCATTCAAATCTGTATTACATTCCAATAAATGTTCAGACAGGAGCAGTTTAAGCTATAGTAATCAGGTAAATTGGTTGAATAGTAATATAATTTGAAACAGATAATGCCAACAGGTGATTGTAAGATGATTGCAGCCTCCAAGAAAGGTCTAGGTCTATAGGAGCAAATATAGGGCGAAGATCAACCAGTTTGCCAACTAATACATGACAAAATTATTGAAATGTTTAAAGACAATGTTCTTCAAAGAGAGATAAAAAGACATATACATATTTCATCTTCAAAAGTGCATAGCTTAATTAAAGAATTCAAGAAATCTGGAGGAATTACTGTACGTAAAGGACAAAGACGCAAGCCTAAGCTGAACAGCTGTAATCTCTGATTCATCTATAAGTGATATCAACACATGGGCTCAGGACTACTTTGCAAAACCTTTGTCAAGTACCACAATACATAGTTACGTCCACAAATGTCAGTTAAAACTGTACTGTGCCAAAAGGAAGCCCTATGTTAACAGTGTCCAAAAGCGCTGTTGACATCTCTGGGCTCAGAGTCATCTGGCATGTACTGTAGTCAGATGAATTAGTATTTTAGAACTTTTTTGAGAGAAATGGACGCTAAGTGCTCCGGACCAAGGAAGAAAAGGATCATCCAGACTATTACCAGCAACAAGTCTAAAAGCCAGGGCCTGTCATAGTATGGAGTTGTGTCAATGCCCTTAGCAAATGTAACTTGCACTTTTGTGACTGCAAAATTCATGCTGAAAACACTACAAAGTGGTACAGTAAATGCTTTATGGCTCCAACTTTTTTGAAATGTGTTGCAAGAACCAAAATTGAAATACGTGTTTATTTAATGAAACAATCAATGAATGTCTGTTGTATTGTCTTCAATAAAAACAAGTCAAAGAAAATTTCGAAATCTCTTTCTTTTTTTATTTGCGTTTTCTATACTGTCCCAACTTTTTCTGATTTAGGGTTGTAATATAAAGTAAATAAAAGGTGGGTCTCCTATGACTGCCAGGTCCAGTAAAAGAAAGACCATATGGTATTTCTTGTATTTCCTTTAAATTAGGCTAAAGATAGTGATTTGAAACACACCGATAAAAAGGACAATTTAAAAAGTTTGATCTCAAATATGTGGAGCTCCTAAATGTAACTAAATAAAAAATGCAAAGAGTCCAGATCTTAACCTTAATGAGAATCTTTGGGATTTGCTGGAAAAGTCTTTACACAGTGGTCTGGCTCTCCCATCATCAATACAATATTTTGACAAACATTTTATTTATCTCTGAATAGGAATAAAAGTTAAATTACAGAAATTATGCCACGGCACTATACTATATGTATGTTTGTGTGATCTAGACATGATACTGTTTGATTCGCTGAAGAATGCTGCTCTCCTTTGCAAACAATAAAGCAAATAAGCAAACAATGTAGCATGTCAAAAGTTGCCATGTCTGTACTTGATGACTAGTGCATGCTAAAGAAACTGAACAATGTCAATGAGAGCATCATCTACTGTATCGCTAAATCCTACCGGATACAGTGCACATAAATATCCCTCACTGTCTATTTAAACATCAGCTGTGGTATGTGGCAAAGGCCTTCTTACATGAGTCACATAAATCAAACATAAAGTACTTCCTTATATCTCAGTGGCTAACGTAAAATATACAACATGCTACACCGGGTGAACCGTATAACGTCATCTATAATGCACTCCAATATACATCTAATAATCTACTTGAGTTGAAAGCACTAAAGAATGAATGATCTGCCATTCACTGTGAGCACATTTCAACATCTCTCCTTTACTCAAGGTTAGTCCCTCAATTTCAGCAAAAACACAGTCCATTAGCAAAACACTGGGCAAGATATTGGGTGTAAACAGTGTAAAACTCACACTCCACTCTCTTCTCCAGCATGGCTAGGCGATTCGTCACCTCAGTTTTCAGTTCGTTGATTTTAAACGCCCTTGGGGAAGAGCGGCAATGCAGATGGAGAGAAATATACAAAGATCATTCATCCTTGAAATACCAAAAGGATTGAAAATTCAATCAGAAGAAGGTCACTGTGAATTAACTGAGGTATCGAACATAAAACACATCATACCTGGAGAACTGCTCCGCCACCTGTGTCAGAACATTCTGGAACAGCTCCTCTTTATCTGAGAGATGAGAAAACAATTTATATCCGTAATCATATGAATTAAATATTTCCGTTTGATATGTCTGTTTCCTCCTGTCAGCCTGAAGCAATGAATGAAACATTCTGAAACCAGCAGAGTTTATTGTCCTATGAATAAAAGGTGGGGAAGACTGAATATAAATCCATATTTCTGGACAGTCTCACCTGCTTTTGTAGCAGAGAAATGCAAGTGTTGACACTTGACAAATATGTAGAATGTGATTTGAAAAACATACACACTTTCATATGCAGCTCTACTCATTGTCTTGTCCAAAGTTCAGCCTAATAAAAAAAACCTGGGACACAAAAATCTACTATTGACTGGTTGCTCAATGTTTGGCTGGTTAGCATGGTATATTATCCACTGCTGGACCAAAAATGATCAAAAGAAGACTGATCAAAAATTACAGTAAAGAATGTCTATTTATTAAAAACAAATGCTGAGAAATGTGCAAATAAATATGACTGGAGTAATGATGCTGAAAATCAGCATTAACATATTTTTGTTTTTTACAGCCTTTAATATGAACATTGTTTTATTGGACAACAATGAGCAGGATATTAAAACTTAAAACAAATACTGATTAAAAAATGGATATTAAAAACATACCATGGATCACAAATAAGAAAAAGTGACAGATATGTTTTTAGTTTTGCCATATCCTGTAATTTGCTGATTGTCATTTTGACACGACGAAAAATATTGAACACATGAAGAAAGGGAGGTGTTAAAAGGCATGGAAAGCCCAGACAGCAGCTGAAATCCCTCAGTAATAAGAATGCATATTAGCTGCTTCAGTTTAACACCAACTTTATCAGATGATAAAGATGAAACCAGTGTGGACTTTTCAGCAAAACAATGATCTCAAACACAGCTAAGCAAACTCTCGATTGGTTTCAGGAAAGAAAAAATAACTGCTGGATTGGCCCAGCCAATCACCTGACCTGAATCCAATAGAAAATAAGTATTTCAAATCAGAGTTTATAGACAAGACTCAAAGAACCGTCAAGATTTGAAGACTGCTGAAGTTTGGGGGGAACTGTGCTTTCCAAAAAAAAAAAAAAAAAGCTTTCATACAAAGTATTAAATACATTTCAGCAGTTAAGTACCTTATCCTTGAGTCATTGTTATTAAACAAAAATATTTACTTTTTTTTTTATACATTTGCATCTTTGGACTGCTTAGGTTTTTACTAAATCTAGGTCAATTTCATGTCAGCAGCTCCTTTAGAAATATATATAAATACATAATGAGTGGCACTCTGACATGCATGACACTGCACTTTTCTTCCAGCGAGCAAACCCTTGTAGACCTGTCACTGCACACTCTCTCATACTCATCTGCAAATCTCACTTCACAGAGGTAACAGGTCAAACCTACTTAGATTCCATCTACTGCTTCTGAATCCTTCAATGCAGTTCATAATAGCAAATATAAAATCACTGGGTTGGAAATCACGTTTACATATAAGATATATATGTAATGTACTGTATAAGATGTACAGTAGAAGACAAAATGTCACATTACAATTATTAAAAATAAATTTTTTCCAAGTGCTGTTTAATGGAGGGAGGATTGTTCTCAACACATTTTTAGTTATTGTTTTAATAACTAAGATCTATTAACAATTTTGTTTGGTTTTTGCCAGCTTCTTTGCAAGATGCTAGTATTCAGCTTAAAGTGTGATTTAAAGGCTTAACTAGATTAGTTGCAACACAGGCTAATTGTGAATATGTACCCCATATACATTTTTAAACAGAGATCGAATGATGTAGCCAGAGGTACGTACGGCTGCATTTCGTCTTTAAAACAAATGATAAGCTACTGATGGCTTCTGTTTCTTGTCGCACTACCAGCTGACCGCTTACCTTCATGGGGACGGCCTGTTACCAGTTTGTGCAGTAGCTCTCCTTCTACTTTGGCGGATTTTGACCGCTATGATGGGGTTCGAGCTTAACGAAGAATGGTTCCAGAAAGCGGGTAAGACAAAAGGCAAGAAATAAAATAAACAAGTAAATTACAGGGTGAGAACGTGGTGAGATCTAAAAATGTGGTAAAAATCAGGCAGCCGCGAGAGCTTTTCTTTTTCTGTGCTTTTGAAAACATTGTCGGTTGGGTTTAGGAAAGGCAGTGGGCGGGTCAATAGGTGCTTTTGAAAACACTATCGGTTGGATTTAGGAATGCAGGTGGGTGGGAATATTGGTTAGTCAGTTGGTCAGTCAGTTCACAGCGGCCTCTGGTGGATTTACGTGAGAACAGCAGGCGCAAACGGCACACGCGAGAGAAATTTGAGATCTGAAAAGGTGTACACAGCTATGGCTGATTTGTAAAACAAAAACTGCAAAATAAACATATCTCCTGGGATGTATTTCGCTCTCTCCAGAATTGTATGTAGAGGTACATACCCATAATGAGCCTGGGTTGGTAGTTAGGTTAACTAGACCAGTTAGATTAATTAGGCAAGTCAGTAGACAACAGTGGTTTGTTTTGTAGCCAATCAAATAAACAAGGGGGCGAATAATATTGACAATAGCCAGTTTTAAAGTTTTTTATATATAATGAATAATACCGCACCTACTGTTTTTCTGTGGAGAATTTTGGTGAACATCTGTGGATTTCTATGGAATTATTTTAAGAGTATTATAACTAAAACTTTAATATGTGAAAAAAAAATTTAACTTTTATTTAATGTTTAAAATGCAAATCCAATTAGATGCACTTTATTTGGTAAACAAAGCAAGTCTCTCATATAATATATCTACTAAAAGGCAGAAAATATTACTGTGCAAACTGCATTGTACCTAAATCAGATGAACATTTTCACATTAGTCAATAATATTACAATAATTACTTTAAAAACTGAATAAATTTAGATTTTCACACATTTACTCAAGTAAATAAACTGAATTAATGATGGGCTAAAAATCTGTGGAAATCTGTGAAAAATCTGCGCAATTCAGCATGTGCAGATTTCGTGTGGGCCTATTCATGACCAATAAAAATGCAACCAAAATGTCTAGTGTGCTGCACATTTTGCAACATAGGCTCAAAAGTGGGTGAGACAAAAACAGAAGCCAAAAATGTTCAAATAAACAAGTAAATAATGTGAGAATGTGGTAAAATGTGAAAATTTGGCAAAAATCAGGGCTTTTCTTATTCTGTATTACTTCTAAAACTCTCGCTTGGGTTTAGGGAAAGAGGAAGGTGGGTCAGTCGAATGGTCAGTCAGTCGTTCGACAGCGGCCTCTGGTGGCTTTAAGCGACAACAGTAGGTCCAAATAGCACTTGTTAGAAGCATTTGAGATCTGAAAAAGCGTACACAGTGGCCTACGGTGTATTTGCAAAAACAGTAAAAAAAGCAAAAAAAGTACCTCCTGGGACAAATTTGCCGCTCTCCAGAAATGTATATATCGGTACTTTTTCAGAATGAGCCTGTGTTATAATGTCAAATTTCATGTATACAAAAAGAAAAGGTAAATATATTGCATACACACTGTAAAACATCCTTACATTATTCAAACTAACTAAAAATATTAAGTTAATTTAAAAAAAACGTACTTGAACCCTGATTAACTTATTAAAATGAGTTAAAGCAACCTAAAGTAATGTGTTGTCTTGACTTTTTGTCATTACATATCTTACAGTATATACCACAGAAACAGATTAATGGAAAAATCTTACTCCAAAATACCCTCAAATGCATAACTGAAAACAAGATATTGAAAACAAGCACAAAGTTGACATCAAATCCACAGTTAAGTAGTCCTGGAATGCAGATGAATCTGAGAATCTGTCCAAAAAAGGAACTTGTATATCTGAGTTTGATTCGAAATCATAAAAAAAAAAAAAAAAAGTTATAATCACTTTTGCATGCTCACGATAACACAGAGAGACTGAAAAGCTTGCAGTCCACCCCCGCTGCAGTGATAAATGGAGCTGCTCTCGCTGCACACTCAGGCAGCTTTTCCACACACTCCATTTATGGAGATTGCAGAACATTTGAGTGATCACTTCAGAGCGGCTTCAGCCTTCATAACAAAACAAACCCCATTTTCCCATTTCAAGCGGAATGTAAACACCATCGCCGTTGTTCATGTGATTCATAACACGTATAAACACTGAAACCGCATAACATCCAGGACGTCAGATGCTTACCTGCAAGTTGGCTGCCAGTTACGGGCACCACTTTGTACGGTGACCTTGAAAAACAACAGGACAGTTACAAAACAGTTGGCACCATATTAAAACAAATCACCTGCATAACACACTCCGATTATTCCATATTATGACAGCTCCGGTTCTCTGTAGCATTACTACTGCATATAAGACGTCTGCTCTGCTGGAGGATTGTGATTGTGAGTGGTCAATGGCAAACTGAGATTCTTGTTGGCGGAGTCACTTCCCCTTTATCTTTATCTGGCCGCCATCCATTGTTTGTCTAGCATATAGGGCAGCTCTCCATATCACCAGCAGATAAAGCACAGACAGAATATTTTTTTTTATTTGTTTACCATCACTGTTTGAACATGGAGTTCGACACCAAAACGGTGTTAAATTGGATCATTGGTTTTATATTAAGGTGACACTTTACAATAATTTTTCATTAGTTCATGTATTTATTTACTGACATGAGCTAATAATGATCAATACTTGTATGTCATAGTTACTGATGCATTATTAAAATCCAAATTCATGCTTGGTAACATTAGTTAATGCACTGTGAGTTGATATGACCTACTATCTATATACACTACCTGACAAAAGTCTTGTCGTCAATCCGAGTTGTAAGAGCAGCAAATAATAACTTGTCTTCTAGATGATCATTTGGAAAAGTGGCAGAAGGTAAATTTCTCTGATGAATCATCTGTTGAACTGAATCCCAATCGCCACAAATACTGCAGACCTAATGGAACCCACATGGACCCAAGATTCTCATAGAAATCAGTCAAGTTTTGTGAAGGAAAAATAATGGTTTAGGGTTAAATTTTGCAGAGTGGATGGCAACATCACAGCCTGAGATACTCAGACATTTGTGCTGCCCATTACATTACAAACCACAGGAGAGGGCAAATTCTTCAGCAGGATAGCACTCCTTCTCATATTTCAGCCTCCACATCAAAGTTCCTGAAAGCAAAGAAGGTCAAGGTGCTCCAGGATTGGCCAGCCCAGTTACCAGGCATGAATATTATTGAGCATGTCTGGGGTAAAATGAAGGAGGAGGCCTTGAAGATGAATCCAAAGAATCTAGATAATCTCTGGAAGTCCTGCAAGAAGGCTTGCTTTGCCATTCCAGATGACTTTATTAATAGGTTATTGAAGTCATTGCTGAGATGTATGGATGCAGTCCTCTAAGCTTATGGAAATCATACATAATATTAATTATTTTTCCATTGCACCATGACTTTACATTCTATACTGCACATTATTTCTGTTAAGTAACAAGACTTTTGTCTAAGCAAAGTCAGACCTTACAGTCCTAATTAAATAATTAAAAATCAAGACTTGATCGTGTTTTATGTAAAATAAGTGTAATCTAGAGGCTTTTGCCTTTCATATAAGTCGCTTCTGATACCAAATGAACAACTAGAAGTCACTCTATTATTTGTTGTTCCTAAAACTTTGATAGACAAGACTTTTGTCAGTGAATCATAAACTATCCAATATTGATATAGAGTAAAAAAATACACTGTAAAACTGTTAATTAAAGGGATAGTTCACCCGAAAATTAATATTCTGTCATCATTTACTCTTCCTCCACTTGTTTCAAACCTGTTTGAGTTTCGTTCTTCTTTCAAACACAAAGTGAAGTAAACAGCCATTAACTCCAGCCACTGACATCCATAGTATTTTTTTCTTCCTACGATGGATGTCCCAAATCACACAAAGTCTAAATAGTGTATGTACTGCATCATACTGAAAACTTTATAAATAATAAGTGCATTTTAAATACCCAGATGATGCACTTATTTAACTAATACAATGAAGTGTGGACTGTTGGACACTTCACACTCTCAACGGTCATAGCTTTGCTCATGTACTGGAAGGGGCAAACCTTTCGAACACTGATGTTGGATTACTTTATTTATTTTGGATTGTGTGTAATGGGTGATTATAATTATCATTAATAAGGAGTGATTATAGCGCCTACTGGTGGTGAATGTGGTGAAATTGCAATAATTTGATAGTTTGGTCATTTATTTCACTAATTTGCAAACCGTCAAACATCATCTAAGAAACGGTTGAAATTTACGCTTAATAAAAAAATGTTCCATTTGGGACGACACTAAATTCTAACCCAGGCTCATTCTGAAAATGTGCCTAAACCTAACCAATAGTGTTTTCAAAAACACAGATTGACCTGCCACCCTCTTCCCTAAACCCAACGACAGTTTTAAAAAAATATTCCAAAAAAAGAAAAGCCTTCGTCTGATTTTTTCCACATTACGTACATGGAAGATAACTGGACAAACTGATAACAGTGGAAAAGCCGTCCATACGGAGGTAATCAGTCAGCTGGTAAGTGTGAAAATGAATGGCATCATACCACCTCGTAGCATTTATTTTAAAGATGAAATGCAGCTATGCGTATACCTGGCTACATAGTTCATGATCTCCAAAAATGTATACAGGGTTTTGTTTTCAGAATGAGCCTATTTTCCTATATTCATTACTATGCTGTTGAGTGTGTAAGTGCATGAGTACATAGTGCATAAGTGTATAGAGTACAGTTTGCCATTTGAAGGCAGAAAATGTCAGTTTTTTTTTTCAACATTCTTTAGAATACTTTGTTTCATGCTTACCACACGAAAGTTTATCAAGCTTTAGAACGACTGAAATTGTGAAATTTAAATTTTTGGGAGAACTATCTCTTTAAAACACTGCCACATTTTTTGATTCACTGATATTTTTCATGTATTCTTATCAAATTGAATTATATGATGTTGATCTCACAACTTTGGAAAATGAAATGAAAGTGCACAGCTGCAATATAACAAAGTGACTTTTATGCACATTTTTAGTAGTTTGAATCAATATATTGTTGAAGAAGTAATATATATATATATATATGTTATAGGGTGACACATTGGTGCAGTAGGTAGGGCTGTCGCCTCACAGCAAGAAGGTCGCTGGGTCACTGGTTCGAGCCTCAGCTGGGTCAGTTGGCATTTCTGTGTGGAGTTTGCATGTTCTCCCTGCGTTCGTGTGGGTTTCCTCCGGGTGCTCCCGTTTCCCCCACAGTCCAAAGACATGTGGTACAGGTCAATTGGGTAGGCTAAATTGTCCGTAGTTTTTGAGTGCATGTGTAAATGAGTGAGTGTGGATGTTTCCCAGAGATGGTTTGCGGCTGGAATGGGTTTGTATGCTGTGGCAACCCCGGATTAATAAAGGGACTAATCCGAAAAGAAAACGAATGTATATATGAAATAAACCTGTACAATAACAGAAATTATTGGCAGATCATTACTACACTATTATTATAAACCCAAAGAATATTGTTTAAAACTGCTAAAAGTGTCAACAAAGATTGCACCTCAGTTCAAATGACAGTGGATAAAAAATTAACATGAAAGTTTGTTTCCCCTTTACTACTAGTTATAGCACCAAATAAACATGAATGAACATCTTCACATCTAATGTAACTGCTCAATTATTGTTTCACAATAGAAATAAATAGCATTTTTATAACTAATAAGACAAAACTGTTATTATAAAATAGTTAATGAAAATGAAAAAATCAAATTTTGTAAAATGTTTACATTTTAAAAAAGGAACTTCAAGTAGTGCATAATCATGACAGTTTTATAGAAACTCTTATATTTCTTGCTAAAACACACTTTGCTTATCTTTGATTCCTTCATTCATTTTCTTTTCAGCTTAGTCCCTTTATTAATCTGGGGTAATCTGGGGTCACCACAGCGAAATGAACCGTCAACTTATTCAGCACATGTTTTATGCAGTGAATGCCCTTCCAGCTGCAACCCATCACATCACTGTTTTACAGTGTAAGATTTCAGCCATTTGCATTTGGTAATTCTTTATGCAATTTTATTTTGAAAAATATATATCCAAGACTCATTTTAAATATGTGCCTTGGCGTACATGTAAAACATGTTCATCTGATTATGTGTAGTTGCACATTTCAGATGATAAATCCACTAGAGGGCGCTGTCCACATTTTTTGTAAATCTCAAAATATGTTACTTAGGGTGAGTTTACTTGTACGTTTCAGATAGACGCCCATCTTGTTCATGTCCATGAGAAGGCAGAGTTTGTCGAACAAAATCAATTGGCCAACCACTGATTTTGTGGTATTTATATGGTGTTCCCCAAAGAACTGCACAAAACTAATCCATTTGTTTTTATTGCATCCCTTTTAATATCATTAGAGTGAAAAAGAGCAAATGTTGCTTTCATCAAACTGCTCCATAGCATTCATTCATTTTACCTAGAAACTTTGGCCAAAGATATGTTCAATGAGGTTTTTGCAGTTTCACAAATATGTAGGTTGAAGCGCATCCTTCCAAATAGCCTGTATTGGAATTTTACACCATTAGTAATAGTATTTGTAGTTGGCATTGAAACTTACTAGCAAAGCCTCAGAGCAACTTGTTTCTGCACCCAATTTTAATTAGTGTACTTGACCATTTATATTAAAAGATTTTAAAGAGATTCTGAAAAAATGAAATTTTAGTTTTTGCTAAATATAGGTTAGTTTTAGTGAAATTGAGTTTTTGTGCCTGGAAATTTGTGTCAAATGGATTCATTTTACACTGCATGCGTAAAAATCGACCTTTTTAAAGTAAAAACTTGACTGAATTTTTGTTTCTAAATGAAGTGGATGGTTAAGTTACCTCTCTGTGTTGTTTGGCATTGTTGGGTCGATAGAAACCATCGCTCCTGTTGAGTCCAGAAGGGAAATGCTTGTGTTCCTGTCAGCAGCAGATACATTCTCTAAATATGGGAGCACTTCAAAAGTAGGAACACTTTAACTGTACACATACACAAGCACACACACACATATCCATCACACTGTACCTGGAGAGCCCTGTGGCCGTGCAGAACAGCTCCTTTATATCACATGGGCTGCAGAAGCGGCTGAAAACCACCTAAAAGAAGCAGATACAAACCAAGATTCTTAAATTTCACCAGTAACAAAAAAAAAAAAGAAATTCTGCAGTTAATTTATGCACCCTCAGGCACTACAAGATCTAGCTGACTTTTTTCTTGAATTTAACATTAAAGAAGATTTTAAAGCTGAAACTGTGGTTTGTCACCATGAGCACCAAAAACCAAATTAAGGAAAAGGAACATTAAAACCGTAGCTCCTGATGACACTTTTGGTCCCGGGAAATGTATAATCAGTGCATTAACAAAACATCATTATCTGTAACCCACAGCCTTGGGCAAATGGGGAAATTTCTATTTCTTTAAAGTGGTTCTTCCAGACAGCTTATTTCTGGTAAAGATAACTGAATAATAATTTCATGCAATGGCACAACACATTTGCAATTTTAGAATAAAACCGCTATTATTATTCATTAAAGGTGTGGTGTGTAAACTTGACACCCAGTGGTTTAACTAGATATTGCACACCTGACTCAAAACACATTTTCACTCGACATTATTGACAATTGTTATTTAATAAATCTGAGTTTTTATGTGCTGAGTTTTTTTTTTTTTTTTACGTATTTTCAAACTTCAGATTTTTTGTGTTCTGAATTCATACTGCAGATATCCATTTTGTAAAAATACAGTTTCAAATTTTCAATAATCTAAAATTGAAAACCAGAAATTCAGATCGCAAAATTTAGATTCATCAGAAAGGAGGTCAGGGGTCATCAAAAGGGAAGAGCAGACAATCAACGAGAAGTAAAACTAAGTATTTAGGACAATCACAGGACCCTTACACCTTTACCAAACTCACATTTAAGAACTTTTCAAGCTCTTTCCAGCTGCATTTTCAAACTGTCCCAGCATTTTACAATTGTGGTAAATTATATATTTTTTGAATGATCAGATTTTTCCATATATTTAAAAATACTATATTATTTTTGGCTAAAATAAATTGAAACCAAAATGTCCAAAGGGTGGCGCCAGAAATCTATCTTTATCACTGAATTGTTCATTCAGGGCCTATCATACACCCGGCACAAGGCGCAACGCAATTGTTGTTTGCTAGTTTCAGCTTGGCGCAAGAGTCGTTTTGATGTTTTGCACCACACTGTTTAACTAGCAAATGCATTTGCGCTTATAAGTGTGCCCATGGCCGTACTGGTCTAAAAAAGAAGGTGTGTTATAGCGCACTGCTGGTGCGTTGCTATTTTGAGGACCTATATTAGACTGTTCAATAAACCAGATTAAAGCTGGTCTAAAGTCTAGCGCAGAGCAAGTTAGTTGTGCGCCTCTCTTAAGCATTGCTTAATACACACAGGGTGTACAGCAATACACAAATATCTTTACAAATGAAAAATAATTAAAGGATTACAATATTACAAAAAAATATTATTTTCTAGCCTACATAAATATGAAAACCATACTTTCATGCCTTTTTCATCTCGGGGGGCTTTTTCAGTTTATTCGTAACAATTTGCTTCTGTATAATATTATTATTATTAGCAGTAATATTTATTATATCCAAATTTATAAGCATCTATGGGGCACAGCATGTTTAGGATATAACTTGTTTGACCACACTTCATTATTATTGTTCATTTATTTGTTTGCTGGAAATTAGAACTCAATTCAGAAATAGTTTTGAAACAAATCTTTGCGCTTAACAAACTAAATTAATTATGTAGGCTTATGGATGTCTGTGCGTACAACACATTTCCTTATCCACGAGAGTGAAAGTGAAAGTAAAGAATTAGGAGGCTCATCTCTCAGTCTAACTGAGATCTGTTTAACTGTTTTCTCGCAAGTGAAGGGTTCAGTATTTTGACCTACAATGTCCGCCATGTAAATAGCAAATGTGCTATGGAGCAACGTAACTGACTCTTAAAGGGAATGGGAGATGATACTCTTATTGGTTTTTTCTCAAAACACACCTATAACTCATTAAGAGAATAAGCTCAACCCTGTTGGACCATGCGCCACGACGCAAAGCGGATTTTTCCATCCTTAAAATAGTAAAACTGGATTCTGACACGCCCTTAATGCTTTTGCGCCCTGCACTTTAGACTTTGCGCATGGATCGTCAAAATAGAGCGATCAGATTCGTTCAAATCAGCCAATGAATTAAGTGACTCACCATGAATGACTCGCTCAGAGATTTGTTGTTAACCTCATCTGTTAGGTGCTTAAAACTTTGTTTCAAATGGTAAGTCCATATTTTTGTGAATAGTGTACAGGGAAAGCCACTTAATGAGTTTTCAACATAATTTTTGTTTTATGTGACCCAAAACCGAAAGCAGCTTTCCCTATACTTAAAGCTAAAATACATGAGTTTAATTTTACATTAGGCTGTATGTAGATAAAAAAAAAACATTTTTTTTTTTTTACCTATTTCCAGACGCCCCCTGAAACCCCCACCGTTGTAATTCGTACCCTGTAAATTTGCCTATAACCATGAATCAAGCAGAGGTTAGTGATTCTTAGTTTGACTTTTCGGTGATCGTCTACTCTTCTCTGTTAATTACCCCTGACCAACTTTCTATCATTTCAACATTCTTTCATCATTTACTCATCCTTCACTTATTTCAAACCAGCTTGATGGTCTTTCTTCTGTTGAACACAAAAGAAGACATTTTGAAGAAAGCTAAATACATATTTTATCCATATTTGTTTTTCCTAAAATGGAAGTCAAAGTTTAAAGGTTTCTAACATTCTTCAAAATGTCTTCTTTTGTGTTCAACAGGGAAAAAAAGAAACTTAAAAAGGTTTGGAACAACCTTTGGGTTTTGGGTGAACTATCCCTTTAGCTGTGTTGTCTTTGGGAGAAAATACTGCAATCACAATACTAACCACGACAACAATAACAACAAACTGTATGTAAAAATGTGTATGTAAAAGTACACACAGCCAAAGCCAAGTGCTGTCATCTGTAGTGTCTGACTTGACCCAGAGCTCTCTGACCCACTTACTGTACAACACCTGCAGCCGGCGCAATAAGAGCAAAAACAAGTGACAAACACCAAAAAAGACAAGGAGGGGGGTGCAAATGAGAGAGAGAGAGAGAGAGAGAGAGAGAGAGAGAGAGAGAGAGAGAGAGAGAGGGGGAGAGAGAGAGAGACTAATCAAAACACCACAGACACACACACATGCACACACACATGTAGGTGTTGTTGGTTTTAAGAGGACTGTCCATAGGTACAATGTAATTTATACAGTATGAACCGCTCATTATATTGACTTTCCCTACCCCTACGCCTAAACTAATAAACTAAACTTGCACGTGATAAGACCCTGTTAAGTATGAATTATGAGGACAATTGCATAAACTACCTTAACAGAGTGCAACTAGGTCATACTGAAGTCATTGTACAAATTTCTGTCCTTATAAGCAACCACAATCAGTACACACACACAGTTTTTATTTTTTAAAGTCCTAAAATGCTGATTGTTAAACATATATATTGTTTTTATCATTATTGCATAATAGTTTTTGTATTATTATTGTTGCTTTTTTATCACTATATTTATATACAAAAGTTGTTTTTATGTACTGTATGTATGCTTTGCCAATAAATTTGTAACATGAAATTTGCCAATAAAGCAAGTTTGAATTGAATTGAGAGAGAAATCTAGTCACACTGAAATCTAGATATTTATAAATAAATACTAAAATGATTATCATTAAATATATTGTTTATTACCATTTATTATTATTGTGTTATTATTATCATGAGTTAGTATATCTACTGTTTAATGCGTTTACATTCTATTTAATCTAAACATCGCAGATGCTTAGCAATACATATGTAACATTTGTCATGCCAATAAATTTTATTAAATTTAATTTAATTGAATTGAAGTGAGAGAGAGAGAGAGAGAGAGAGAGAGAGAGAGAGAGAGAGAGAGTAGAGAACAATAATAAAGCCTTAGAGCAGAAAAGACTGATGAGAATGAGTGAGAGTGGAAGAAAGAAAGAGAGAAGAGAGAGAGAGAGAGAGAGAGAGAAGGGGAACTGTGCCATAATGCAATTGCAGGTTGTTCTCAGTTGAAGATATGAGAAATTCTTATTAGTGTCCAAAAAGGGCTTCTAATAGAGCACTTTGTCAAAGATGAAACGTAAAACCCATCTTACCACCTTAGAGACTAGAGAGACGATAAAAACGATGTACCACCAACCACAGAACAAAAATAAATCAGTTATATTAGTTTATTTTTAGCAGAAGAGCTCCAAGGTACAGTTCACGGGGAAGTTTTTAGTATTTGTTAAGAACTAAATGTGATATTGAACCCTGAAAACCATTCAGTTGCACTAGACAACAACAAAACACAAGATGTTTCTCCTGTATGTACAGTAGTACACATATATATAAAAATGTATACTCAGGTAGGCTATGGCGTTGAACTGTTTGAACTGCAGCAGATTGTCTTGACCATGTGTACATGCCCAAATGCATAGAGTTGCTGCCATGTGACTGGCTGATTAGAAATTTGGGTTATCGAGCAGTTGGACAGGTGTACCTAATAAAGTGGCCAGTGAGTGCATATGTGTGTGTTTGTGTGTGTTTGTGTGTGTGTGTGTGTGTGTGTGTGTGTGTGTGTGTGTGTGTGTGTGTGTGTGTGTGTATATATGTATATATCTATATATATAATTATAATTTTGGAATAGATTTTTGTATAAAAAATTATTTAATACTGAGAAAAATAGAAAAATTTATACTTTGAAAATTCATAAGTGTGTGCACTGAACAAATAATAACAAATAAAAAATTAATATTTTTTCCAGAAAAAGTTACATAAAAAAAAAAAACATTATGAAACATTTGTTAATTGATTGATTATCCCAAACGTTGGTTAATACCTTTGTATGCAAGTTTACTATACATACTGTCAGAAGTATGGTTAATGGAAGTAAAATCACTGCATAATTTAAAATAATCTAAAATTATGTTGTATTGTATTGTGCTTATTGAAACCCTGAAGCCACTCAGTTTTAATA